GCACCAAGAAGTCTGCTTGCAATGTGGGGTATCATATAAGATCATAGAATCACAAGAGGGGCATCCTATCACTTATTCTGTTGTTAGAAGAAAGTCACAGGTTGGCTGAGCATGGTGGCTCATGCTAGTAATCTCAAAACTTTGGGAGGTCATGGTGGGAAGATCACTTGAGCCCAGGAGTTTGAGAACAGCCTGGGGACATGGTGAAACCCTGTCTATACAAAAAATACAAAAATTAGCTGGACTTGGTGATGCATGCATGTAGTCCCAGCTATTAGGGAGGCTGAGCTGAGAGGATTCCTTGAGCCCAAAAGGTTGAGGCTGCAATGAGCCATGATCACACCACTGTACTCTAGCCTAGGTGGCAAAGCAAAACTGTACTCTAGCCTAGGTGGCAAAGCAAGACCCTGTCTCAAAAAAAAAAAAAAAAAAAAAAAGGAAAAGAAAAGAAAGAAAAAGAAGTCACAGGTTCTGCTCATACTCAAGGCAAGAGGATCACAAAAGGCATGACCATCAGGAGATGGAGATCATGGGGCCACATTGGAGTCTGCCTGATACATCACCTAGATCAGGTTTTTACTTCACTGCTTCCCTAAAATGTGTTTCAAGTTTTCTGTAATTTGGTTTTACCTTTTTTCTCCTAATTTATTTTTTCCTTCTGCCTAATAAACACTAGCTATCCCTCAATTCCTCCTCAAAATTCGTCTTTCCATTTTATGGCCTTCCATAATGCAACTTTAATTAATACAGATATGTTTTACCTAATTAGCATAGACATAATTCTAAAAATCTTGTGTATAAAGCAGAATTATTTTTCATTGAAGTGAAGGGTTCTTAACTAATTTTTGGCTTCTGAATCCTTTTGAGAATCTGATTAAAGCTATAGAGACTCATTTCCCAGAAGCGAGGGACACGATCACACATGTACTATTTCAGTCGTTATTACAGTACAACGAACCACCCCTGGCTCAGTACTATAAAACAATGAGCATTTTATTATCCTCATGGCTTTGGGAATTCAGATGGGGCATAGTGCGAATGGCTTGTCCCTGCTTCATGATGTCTGGGCCTCAGTGGGGACGATTCAGACAGCTGGAGTGATTCCAAAGGTTAGGGGAAGAATGGTCTGGTCCTCATTCATATGTCTGTTGTCTGGGCTGGCATGCCAAGCAGGCTTGGCTCAGCTGGGACTATGGACTAACCATATCAATATGCTTTTTCAGTCACGAAGTTTTTACTACCACCTGGACTCTCCTCACTCCAGTGTGCAAATGGGGACCCTCCCTTTATAAAAAGTTTTCCTTTTAATAATGTAAAACATCTCCATAAAGATCATGTACTAGCATGTATCAGTTTCTTAGTGTTTTTCTTAAGATGTGATGCTCAGAATTCACCCCAGGTGACCAGGTATGCGCTGAGTAGGGCAGAGAATGGTGGACTCGATCCCTTTGAAAATCAGCTATTTTTTTTTTTTTTTTTTTTTTGAGACAGAGTCTCGCTCAGTCTCCAGGTGCCAGGCTGGAGTGCACTGGCACGATCTCGGCTCACTGCAACCTCTGCCTCCCGGGTTCAAGCAATTCTCCTGCCTCAGCCTCCCGAGGAGCTGGGACTACAGGCACATGATACCACACCTGGCTAATTTTTGTATTTTTAGTAGAGACGGGGTTTCACCACGTCGGGTGGGATGGTCTCGATCTCTTGACCTCATGATCCACCCGCCTCAGCCTCCCAAAGTGGTGGGATTACAGGTGTGAGCCACCGCGCCCGGCCCGAAAATCAACTAATTTTTAAAAATTCAACCTGTAATGGTGATTATCTCTGGGGAGAAGAAAGACAGAGGGAACCTGGAGAGATACCTGGGAGAAGGCTCTAAAAATATTGACTCTATTGTAAGCTGAGTAAGAGGCATATGAGTGTTCATTTCATAAAGATATTATTTCCTAAGTATAGATAACATATAGATATTATTTTTTAAGCATGAACTATTCTTCTAGTTAAACAGTGAAAAAAATTAATGTAACCTAAAAATTTGTTATTTTCTTGCTGGCCTATATTTTTCTTCTTTCATAATGACCTCTAGTCAACTCTGTTTGCAGATAATATAAGCTATTCTTAAAGGGTTGTGCCCCCATCCTGTTTCTGTCTAGGTAATTTTTGGATTAAGGGTAAGCCTTTATATTTAATCCTAATATATGTCTTCATTTAGTAATAATTTCAATCAGTTGACATGTCTTTGAAACATGTTTTTCTGAAATTCATCAAATCAGTTCTTGTGAATTTGGCATCATTTGGTAATTCAATGAACATGCTTTCTTCCTTGGCTTTATGTGTATCATTGAGTTTTTTTTTAAGTCAACTAAATTCCAAGGTCAAATTTTTTGAGAAACATCCCAAGCATATTCCAGCTGTCAAATATGTTTGAGAAATATTGGCTAAACAAAGTTTTATTAAACCATCCAACATCCTATTTATTAATTTCATACCTTTTATGTTTTCTTGACTATGGGACTTTCTGACCCTGTATTTACATGACAATGGGAATATGCCCACATAAGTTCCAAATCCACTCTGGTATCAGTTTCGGAATAGGTTAGGGTAAGTTAGGTTATGCTTCAATGGCAAACAGCCTCCAAATTGCAGTGACATAAAATAGCAAAGGCTAACTTCTTGCTCATAATACCTGTACATCCTTTGTCAGCAGAATCCACAGGGGATGCAGACTGGTGAACCAGCAAACACTTTGAACATTGCTAGTTTCTTCTTTCTCCTCCTTTTTTGCCTCCTCCTTCTGTTTTTCAGTAACAACTTACTGAAATATAATGTTGCTAGGTTTTGTTTCTTTTTTTGTTTTGCTATGGAAAAGAAAGTTCTGGAGAATCTTCTTCCAGCACTTAAATATTCTAGCCCAGAAGTGACACTTGGCATTTCTGCTTACAAACTTATTGGCCAAAACTAGTTACATGGGCCCCCATCAACCACAGACGTCTCCAAGATGTTCAGTCTTCCCATGGGCTTAGAAGGAGGAGAGCCAGAAAAATATGGTCAGCATCATTAATGACTATGACCTGTGAGTCTAGTATATAGCACTTCTCAAGATTGTCCATAGAAACTTTTCTTCATGACGCATCTGGAATACCGTGCCTCATAGGAGCTACCTTTGGAAACACTAGCTTCTGGTCTGGAAAACAGCAAGGTCTGGTGGAAGCAAATCCACTAGAGACCGTCTTTCTTCCCTTCAGCCTGGAGTTTTCCATCAGTCTCTCTTGGCTGTGGTCATTCAGTCAGTTACAGATCCCTTGGTATTAGCCCCCATTCCTCCATCCTGCTTGCAGAATTGTGTGTGTGTGTGTGTGTGTGTGTGTGTGTGTGAAAGACTTTGTGAAACTTCCTGCTGAAAGCAAAAGCTGCTCAGCCTGTAGCATCCTTTTTCTGAGTTACAAGTCTATGTTATTGAAATAAGATGAATTTGTTTTGATTCTCGAATCTATGAGTTGGACTCATGGTTGAATCCATTTCAGTGAAAGTACAAAAGAAGAAATCCTATACAGACGTCACCGAATATCCACATAAAAGTGGATTCTAAAGTTTAAATGAAAAATACAAAAATGCAAAAATACCTTATACAGATGTTATATTTACCCATATAAGTAACCAGATACGTCTGCATGCAAAGTGTGAAATTGAGGCTATCTAGGAGATAAGCAACATGAACAGGGAGGATTGAGGCGTGAAAGCAGTATCCACCTTCTGTGTAAAACTGCAACTGTCTGGGTGGGAATACCTACTTAGGCTGCATGTGGTAACATAGAAACACAATTTCCATTGTAAACCATGAAGCAGTTCCTCAGGAGGGCATGCATTTTAATGAAATACTATGCAGACTTTAGTGTCTTGAAACTATATATGCATTTTGACACTTTTGGCCAGTGGTGGCCAGAGAGAGCTTTGGCTCTGCAGAAAGAGCCCTAATTATCTTGATCTGGTGATCAGGACACAGTCAGGCTGAGCTGGGCTTATGAGGATGGCCTGCCTAGGAGATGGAGTTGGTTTCTCTTATAAAGTCAGTCAATAAGCCTCATGTAGTATTGGCTTATACCCTGATGAGTTCTAAAAATGATGTAAGGCCAGCTTCTTGGGTATCTATAAATCCCAAGAATGGGAAATTTTAAAAATAAGGAAAAGAAGAATGTGAAAAGATTTTTTTCAGCATACAGCCTAATTCAGAGTGAACTTGCAGCTTCCCAAGAGTTGTTTCCTCACCTCCTTTCCTGCGGAGGTCACCAGCTTGTCCCCTGGCTCCTTGTTTGTCTGCCTGTGGGGCCACACACGAGTGCTGACAGTCCTGGCCTCTGTAGGTGTTTAGAGTGACACCACGCCTTGTGAGAAGTGCCTCCTTCCTGGGTTTTCTTTTTGAAATAGCCTAATCTGAAAGAAAATCTCCCTTGCTGTTTGACATGGCATGAATGATAGCATTGGAAATCCTTTTAAATCCAGGAAGATAAATATGTTTCATTGGAGCCATCTTTCCAAAGGCAGACAACTTCGAATATTTCACTTAAGATGCCTCGGGGTCCTAAAAAAGGTTCATGCTTGAATATACAGTGCTTCTTTAGTTTTGTGTGTTTTGGGTTCCTGGGTGAGGTTATTTTGGTGTCACTGGCCATGGAAGTTGATCACATTCAGCTTTGATTTTCTAGGTTGCAAGTTTCACAGTCCAGGCCTTGTAGGTGGTACCAAAAAAAAAGTTGTTTAATACACAAGTATTTTCCACATCTTTGCTTAAACATCACTTCATCAGAAACCACCTCTCACCAACCCTGCCCTGTAGGTTAGCTGCAACATTTTCCTACTTGAAATTATGTAATTTGTTGTTTGTTTCCTGAGCCTTCTGTGATGGGTCCGGTTAGAGCCTGTCTTGCACACCTTTGTCTCCAGCACCTGACCACAGCAGGCACCTCATGAATATCCAACACCTGACGGTCTGATATTTTGTTTCACAGGAACAGACAATCTGCAGGTGAATGTCACCCGGACGCCAGAGTCATTTCCTCCGGGGAAGTTGTTACCGATTTCACCAACATGGCCTTTCACAGAAGTCAGGTCTTCTTCAGCAGCAGGCAGAATCAAGACTGTGCTGGGACAGTCCTCTGACAACACAAGCTTGTCACAGTCAGCCCGAACCCCTGCGTCCAAGACACACCACACAGCTAGGGCTTACATGGACTTCTCTTCTTCCCTTTACCAAGGAAGCGGACATAGCGCCTCCCTTGAGCCTTCCAAGGATTCTACCGAGTCCCTGGTCCAACCTGGGCCTAGAGGGGGACAAGAAGCAGCTGATGCGTCAGGTTTGCCTCTCACCAGCATGCCCCCCTCATTGTCCACAGTCCCGTCAGGGGCGTCCTTCAGTGCTGTCCTCCCATCCCAGCCAGTATGGGCAGGGACTCCCTCCATTTCAAAGCATCCCCCGAGATCAGATGTTCCCCCACTCCTCCCTCCACCTCCATCCTCTTCATTGACTCCTGACTCACCTCATTCCATCATCTCTGAGCCAGCAGAGCAACTCTCCAAAGTGCTGTTAGTTCCCCAAACAGCTCTAGCCAACCCCTCTTCAGGTCAGAACATAGCTAATCCCCTAAACCCTTTTTCTGATGAAATGGAGCACACTCCATCCCAAAACGCCCGGGATCTCATAGGCGTCCCTCATCTAGGTGTTCCTGGATCCTCAACAAAGTGGCATTCCGAGCTGTCCCCAACAGAGGGTCCCCATTCAGCAGGCTCATCCACATCTGGGTTTTTGAGCCCCATGGCAGAACTGTCCCATCCATCTCCCCATCCCCCAGCACTTGGAAGTCGTCTTTGGCTTCCACATGGAAGCCCCTCATGGTCAATGTTGGAAGTGACTTCAGGTCCTGCATCCACCCAGCAGATCAAAGCTGGGGTGGCTGGAAGTGTGTACAATGGGGTGTCTTTACCAACTTTTAAGAATACAGAAGCAGCGACCCATGAGGTTGAGCCTCCACTTTTCCAGACTGCAGAATCAGTGGCCGTAGAAATGACCAGCAGAAAGCTAGCCCCTACCACTGCAAATGACTCTGCTAACCCGCTGCATTTGTCAGCAGCTCCAGAGAATTCCAGAGGGCCCACCCTTTCGGCAGAACACACCTCTTCATCTTTGGTGCCTTCTCCTCTGCATGTCACCGCACCGGGTCGAGAGCAAGCTATCTTCTCTGGGGCGGTTCCCGCATCACCATCAACGGGGACAGCCGACTTGCCCTCCATACGTACTTTCCTCCAGCCCACAGAGAATCATGCCTCCCCATCTCCCGTGCCAGAAATGTCTGTTCCTCCAGCAGAGGGCAGTGACGGGTCCCTGCCTACTGCAGCTAGAGACTTGCTCCTCTCAAACAGAGTTCCTCATCTTCTTCCCACATCTTGGACATTTCCCCGGTGGAAAAAGGACAGCGTGACAGCCATTTTAAGGAAAAATGAAGAGGCAAATGTGACGATTCCTCTCCAGGCCTTTCCAAGGAAAGAGGTTTTGAGTCTTCATACTGTAAATGGATTTGTCTCTGATTTCAGCACCGGTCATGTCTCATCTCCCATCATTACAGCACCAAGAACAAATCCCCTTCCTTCAGGATCACCTCCACCTTCCATGCTCTCCATACAAGCCACCCAGACTGTTCCCCCATCTCTTGGTTTTTCTAACACCAAGCCAGAGACTTATGGAGCTGCTCTGGCCCATTCTGGGTTGCCAGCTTCAGCCTCCAGACAGGTGAGAGCATCGCTCTCATCCATGGATGTCTATGATTCCTCAACAACAGGGGACATGAAAAAGCCAGCAACCACAGATGTTTTCTGGAGTTCTCTTTCAGCAGACACTGGATCCCTTTCCACGGAATCAATAATATCTGGCTTGCAGCAGCAAACAAATTATGATTTAAATGGACATACAATTAGCTCCACAAGTTGGGAAACTCATTTAGCTCCAACGGCTCCTCCCAGTGGTTTAACTTCAGCTGCCAATGCCATAAAATCTCAGGATTTCAGAGATACTGCTGGGCATTCAGTGACTGGAGAAGGGTTTAGCACTCAGGACCTCATCCTCGGTACAAGCACTGAGCAGCCTGTGCAGCAGTCAGACGTGACCATGGTTGGAAGCCATAGAGACCTGTGGCCCCCAAGCAATAACAGCCATTCCATAGACTTCCAACCAGCTGAAGTTGAGAATGACTCATCCACAAGTCAACATTCTGTGTCTCATCCACAACTACAGTTGCCCGACCAGCCAACACACCCTCTTTTACTAACCTTGTCAAGACCAACTTCTACAGGTGGCTTGCAGGAAATGGTTTCGGATGGAACAGATACAGGTTCTGAAATTTCCAGTGACGTCAATTCATCACATGAGAGAAATACTTCCAGACCGTTCCAGAACATCTTGAGATATAACTCTGCTGCTGAATCTTCTATATCGACCAGTGTCTTTCCCAAGACCTCCTCCAGAGTGCTGCGGGCTTCTCAGCACCCCAAGAAATGGACAGGTGCAGCCACTAATGCAGGTAGTTTGTTTCCTGGTACCCCCAAAACAGGTATGACTGCTTTTGTGGTCAAAGCATCTTCAAGCTCAACGCAGATACCAGCTTTGCTCTGAAGGAGCTCGTCCCCCTATCAAGAGTGAGCTAGCAGCCCCAAATAGTCATGTCATTGATCCTGTGCCTACTTGAGCTTTTGAAAGTATTCACAATGTAAGCATCCTTGCTATCAACCATAGCTGTGCTGTAAGTGGCATTCTTGTTATGGTTAATCAGCTCAATGAGCCTAGAGTTGTTTTGCCTAAGTTCTGTCCAACGCAAGCCCAGATTGCAGAGACTTCACCCTAGCAAATCCATAAGTTACATCCATTCATCATCAGAACAAGTGACACGTGCATTCCCAGCCAGTGACAAACTTTGTTTTTTCTCTCTTTACAGTGGACACAGTGTCATCAAAGGTAGAGCCAACAGCAGCAGCTGCCGTCACGTTGTTTCTGAGGAAATCAAGTCCACCTGCACTGTCTGCAGCCCTGGTTGCTAAGGGCACCAGCCCCAGCCCTTTGGCCGTGGCCTCAGGACCATCTAAGAGCAGTTCAATGACTACTCTTGCTAAAAATGTCACAAACAAGGCCACATCTGGCCCAAAGAGAGTGCCAGGGGCAATCCATACAGCCTTCCCGTTCACGCCAACCTACATGTATGCAAGAACAGCGCATACCATGAGCACACATACAGCCATGCAAGGAAACATGGGCACTGCCTCTGGCCTGTTGTCTACGACATACCTCCCTAGGAAACCACAAGCCATGCACACTGGCCTCCCAAACCCCACCAACCCGGAGATGCCCAGAGCATCCACGCCACGCCCCCTGACAGTCACGGCTGCGCTAACATCCATTACAGCCTCAGTGAAGGCCACCCGGTTGCCACCATTGCGAGCAGAAAACACAGATGCTGCCCTTCCCGCCGTGTCAGCTGCGGTGGTCACGACTGGCAAAATGGCATCCAACCTGGAGTGTCAGATGTCCAGTAAGCTCCTGGTGAAGACAGGTATGAGATCACTGTTCTGATCTTAAAGCAGCAAGCCTGGTCCCATGTTTCTTTTAAATCAGTGGTTATCAACCAGGGGCTACTTTGTCACCCTCTCCCAGGGACATTTGGCTATGTCTGGAGACATTTTTGGTTGTTATTCTTGGTGGCTCTACTAAAATCTAATGAGATAGGGACCAGGGATACTGTTCAACATCTTACAATGCACGAAACAGCCGTGACAACAAAGATTAATCCAGCCTAAAACATCCATAGGGCCAAGGTGGAGACCATGAGCTTCAGCAAGTGTTAGAGGAGAGAGAGAGAGAGCCTGATGTGGCATGGAGCTTAGTCCTAGGTCTCAGAAGCCCCTGGGAAACCACAGTTCTGCCAGTGGGTCTGAGAATGCAAAGGTACCATTTTGCATCAGGGATGTCTGCCATGAATGAATGATGTGATTCATAAAATACAACATCTTGGGAAGTACTACAGAGTTCAGAAAGGCTTTTGTCGTGAATTTTTTCAATTAGCAGATAGCAAAAGTACAGCTTCCACACACTATGTGGGAGCGCAGGATTTCTTCTGATGGTAGAAAGAAGACTTTCTTGAAAAAGTGGGATGGGCAGCACTAGAATTGTGAGCAAGGATGGGATGCTGTCTTTTTAGCCCCCACTCCCCAGCTGTAGCAAAGCAGGCCTAGAATGCACAGAGTGCTTTTAATAGTGTGGCAATGTTTGCTATAAAAAACATTAGACAAATTATTTGAAAGAGCATGCCAATGTTGAATGCTCGCATCCCGCCTTCCTCCTCACCCCACAAAGAATTAAATGAAATTATATCTTAAGACATATCCTATTCTAAAATGGGAAATTGTGAAATTAGGCATAGAAAAAAGTAGAGTATCTCTTCCTATTTCTCAAGAAATTATACCATCTGGGTTTCCTCTGTCTGTCCCTTCTCCCTGCCACTCTCTTCTGGGTGACAGGCAGCCCTGGCCCCTCAGAGGCAGAAGTTGGAAACATTCTCATCTCTGTCTTCTTCCCAGCACCCCACCAACCCAGCGACATCTAATCAATCACCAGTTCCTTTCAGTTCTGCCTCCTGGGTACCCCTTCTGTCCATCCTGATTCACACTGCCACTTCCCTAGTTCACACTGTCACCATCGCTCACCTAAATTTCTGCAACAATAGCCACATTTATATCTCTGCCTTCACACGTCCCCTCTCTTCAATCTGCTATCCAGTCTGCAGTTGAGAACCTTCTAAAATGCATTCCTTTGCTTAAGACTCATTTCCCATTGCCCTTAGGACCAAGCTTAAACGTGTATGTACAGTAGTCCCCTCTTATCTGCAGGCGATCTGTTCCAAGACTCCCCAGTTGATGCCTGAAAATGCAGGTAGTACCAACCCCTATTCATACATGCCTATGATAAAGCTTAATTTATAAGTTAGGTACAGTTGAGGTCAACAACAACTAGTAATAAAATAGAACAAGTGTAACAATGGACTGTAATAAAAGTGATGTGAATGTCATCTCTCTCACTCTCTCAGAATATCTCATGGTACCATACTCCTCTATTTTCAGACTCTGCTTGGCTGCAGTAAATAAAACCATGGAAAGCCACACTGTGGCTAAGAGGGAATTACTGTATCCTGAAATATTTAACTTCTTTCCTCTGCACCTTTGCGCTTGGTACTCCTCTGCTGGGAGTGGGTGAGGGTCTCTTCCCCCTTGTCAAATTTCACTCTTGTGATCCTTCAGAACTTAGCTGAAGCATCAGTTCCTGTGGAAATTTTCCCTGATCCCCATCCCTTTACCAGACTCAGCTCCTCCTAGGAGCTCTGGCAGCATTCTAGGCTTCCCTTCAAATAGCACCTGTCACATTCTATCCCAAATGCCTGGTCTCCGTCCTGTGTCTCCAGCCCACTTGCGAGGTGGGGATGGTACCTTCCTGATGCAGGGTTGTTTGGGGCTGCAGCACTTAGCTTAGGGCCTGCACCTAAGGAGGCTGCCCATGATGTTGTTGCAGGAATTTCTTCCCATGCAGAATCACCTGGGGCAGGCACTGTCGAGCTGGCTTTGAAAGTCAGAGGCAGCATCTGTCAGAAATGAAATGCCACCAGCATACCAGCTTACTCTCTCCTCAGGTCACACAAACGGCTTCTTTAGCAGGACCCACAGAGCTGCCCACCCTCTCCTTGATGGCTCTGTGCTTACCAGCTCTGCTCAGAACTTGCATAAGGTGGTGGCTGGGAGGAAGCAGGGGGCAAATGAACGATGAGATTTGCCATTTTGCCTCATTGCTACGCTTCTGTTTTGCCCCACAGTTCTCTTTCTCACCCAAAGGAGAGTGCAGATCAGTGAATCCTTAAAGCTCAATATCGCCAAAGGGCTTACCCAGGCTCTGCGGAAAGCGTTCCACCAGAACGATGTCTCAGCTCACGTAAGTGCCTTGCTTTGTAACCAAGCTAATCCTTCGCACCCTGCCTCTTAGGTCTAGAATATGTTTAGATTGTTTTCCTCCTTTCTAGGTACCATAACAACGCTGGCAGAAGTAGAATCTGTCTTCACTTTGGCAACTAGCTAATGTGTAGTAGCTCGAGAAAAAGGTCAAATTTTGAGGAAAACGAAGACAAATTGTTTTATGTCTAGATTTCTTTCCAAAGACTGGCTATGTTAGCCAGGTGGGTGGCTCACACCTGTAATCCTAGCACTTTGGGAGTCTGAGGTGGGCAATCACTTGAGGTCAGGAGTTCAAGACCAGCCTGGGCAACATGATGAAATCCCATCTCTATTAAAAATACCAAAATTAGCCTGGCGTGGTGGCGGGTGCCTATAATCCCAGTTACTTGGGAGGCTGAGACAGGAGAATCACTTGAACCTGGGAGGTGGAGGTTGCAGTGAGCCAAGATTGTGCCACTACACTCCAGCCTGGGTAACAGAGCAAGACTCTGTCTCAATTAAGTAAGTAAGTAAATAAATAAATATATAAGCCTGGATATATTGTTTTAAACCATCTCATTATCCCATCGTTTGGAGAAAGTATTTACATTGTTCGTGTAATTCTCTAGAAAACTCTCTATTGCTTTTCCCCTTATTTTCGTCCCCATCATAAACAGTGGCTTATTTCTGGGCATTTAAAAATTACCCTGACTTGTAAATCAAGTCTGGCTTCGCTTAAATTGCCTGCTGCACACAGGGAAGTAAACATTTTTTTCTTTTAATGCCAAGTACTGTTTAATGAGTGCTGGCTGATTTTGATGGCTTATCCAAGTGATGGAAGCTTCACTTTATAGTCTTTGGGTTTGATTCCAAGTTTTCAGACAGTAAACGCAGTTGGCAGTTGGTAGACTCCCATTTGCACCACTAAAAACTATTGCTCTGGCTGCTGCTTTTGATGTTCTCTGTCCTACAGCTGCAGTCAGCTTACTGACCCCTCCCCTCCCATCAACACCAAGGACTAGAAAGGAGATTTGGCACATACTTTATTGATCATTGTCAATCTCTTTTATATACTTCTGAAAAAAAGAGAAAGAAATGCGCTCTATGAGAGGCTCGTATGGTTTCTGCACCAGAAACTTTACGGGAAGTTGAAAATGTGAATATTTCCACTTAGTTGCCTGATATAGTTTTCGTTAAACTTCAGTCACTCTCAAACTGCTTCTGTAGTTTTGGTCTTTGCTGCGTATCATCACAGAGCAGTGTGACAATTAGTGTTAGGTTTTTTGTTATTGTTTAATGGGCTCTCTTTTAAAAACTTAACTACATTGTTTTTGAAAGGGCATTTGCTATCACCACCATACATGGAAATCAAGATCATTTGCCACAAATAAAAGGTGATGGTAAGAATGAGAATAGCGGGGACAAACAGCTTGTTAAATTCAAGCCGGCGGTCCTTGCTTGCGGAAGGCTCTGAGGCTGAGCCTGGTGTCCCTTTGTTTGTTTATTTAAAAATGGAATTAGCAAGGGTTAGAGGGATGTTAAAAGCAAATATTCACCAAACGGAGACTTATTTCTTGGGCTCATTAGAAGGATTGAAAGGGAACAACTCTCTCACTGAGTGATTTAGTGCTGTCTTGTGGCGTGTCCACGGTCCATGCTGAAGTACCTCTTGTTCCACCTAAAATCATCTTGAGCACCATCTTCAGGAAAAACTAAGCAAGCGGGGGCACACAATGTGGAGGAAGCAAAGGCACACCCCTCCTGTTTCAAAATCAGTTGTCTTGCTTCCTTTGGAACATACACATGGAGATGCAAGAATATGGGGAGAAAGTGGGTGTCAAAAACGTCCTGGCTGGGCACAGTGGTTCATGCCTATAATTCCAGCACATTGGGAGGCCAAGGCAGGAGGGTCACTTGAGGCCAGCAGTTTGAGACCAGTGTGGGCAACGTAGTGAGACCCCATCTCTACAAAACATAAAAGTTAGCCGGGTATGGTGGCACATGCTTACAGTCCTAGCTACCCTAGAGGCTGAGGTGGGAGAACTGCTTGAGCCCAGAAGGTCAAGGCTGCAGTGAGCTGTGATCATGCCACTGCACTCCAGTCTGGGTGACAGAGCAAGACCTTGTCTCAAAAAAACAAAAACCAAAAACACCCACCGAACAAAACCCTGAGTTCCAGTTTTACAAGATGAAAAGAGTTCTGGAAATGGATGGAAGTGATTCGTGGTAGTTGTACACCATTATGAATGTGTTTAATACCACTGGACAGTATGCTAAAAAATAGTCAAGATAGTAGACTGTATATTGTGTGTATTTTCCCACAATAAAAACTTGGAAAAAAGTAGCTGCATACGTGTGTGTGTGTGTGTGTGTGTGTGTGTGTTTGTATGTTTGTATGTATGTTACTCTTTTCTCTGTTTTTCAAATATACAAATTCTATAATAAACATTACGTTTAATATATAAAAACCAAAACAAATTTTAAAAACCCCTGGGACAGAAGGAGCTCAGACCATCATTGCCTCCTAGGGTTCAGCTGTAGGAGGAATTCTCTGTGCTGCAGCCCTGCCTTGGTCTCGAACCAGTTTACAAGCCAATGACAGAGTCTGAACGAATTTTCTCTCTGACTCTACAAAGAAGAATTCACTTTGCTTACTTCTTGACCTGTGCCCCAAAGGCGTCCCCACTTATCATTTCTACCTTTTAATCCTCATAAATGACGAGAAATACAATGTGACTTTTTCCAGCATTTCTTCAAATTACTCTTTCCTCTTTACCTTTTTGGTAATAATAATTCATGCTCACAAGAGTATACTGAGGCACTTAAAGAATAAAAAAGACACAGACTTAATTCTATTCCATGAAGGTTTGGTGTAAATTATATTTTGTTGTTTCTGTGGTATTTTGAGACTTGTCAATCCAAATTATACTTCATAGGATTATTAAGAGCATTTATTGAATGAGAACATTCTGTTCTCCACCCTTGCTTCTAACAGTCGTGGTTCTGAGAAATACCAAGAACTTAAAGTACAGTGGAAATAAACAATGGGTTTTGTGGGTCCCTTTGTTTTGTAGGTGGACATTCTGGAATATTCTCATAATGTCACCGTTGGTTATTATGCTACCAAAGGGAGGCTGGTGTACTTGCCTGCTGTGGTGATGGAAATGTTGGGTGTGTATGGAGTCAGCAATGTCACTGCAGACCTGAAGCAACACACTCCAAACTTGCAGTCTGTGGCAGTACTTGCCTCCCCATGGAATCCCCAGCCTGCAGGCTACTTCCAGCTGAAAACAGGCAAGTGACTCAGGAAAGGATTTTCATCCATTCTGGGGTCAGGGCCGTACCAAGTGGACACCTGTTTAAAAACTCCTTTACTAGCTGCTGTGCCATTTTCTAAAGTCCTTGTGAACTATCTTCAAAGGGTCCTGCCACTGAAAAGTCCAAGTTCCTTGCACATCAGTCGAAACTCCTCCAACCCTGGAGTGGTTAGAAATATTCTATCATAGGAGTCTTCTTCCCAGTTTACATACTTAGTACTTTTGAGCACCAAGTACTATATTTTATATTTCTTTCTGTATGATCAGTGGATGCCAGTAAGAGTTGAACATGTAGAAAAAAAAATCTATGATTTGGAGCAATGGGTTCCAGATGGAACTCAGAATCTCTGAGTTTAGGTCTTAGAATATTTTTTTTTTTCAAACTTTCTGGGGATTTCTGGTCTGCAAAGTTTGTAAACTACAAGAGTGGAGAAACTCTTAAAATTGAAACAATCAACTTAGCAATGAAGGTCAATAGATTTTCTTCCCACCAAAGAAATAGGAGGCATGATCTCTCTTAGGTTATGATTTTTCAGTCTTTGAGCAGACGTCTACATATTCCATTCAAATAATATAAAATCCTTTGATTGGAGGGAATCTCTGGTTCGATCATGATTTTAATTCTTCTATGTTATAAATCATCTTAAGGGCCACTTTCCAAACTACACTCAAACCTTGTCTGGGCTTATTATTTATTTGCCTAATTCCTCTCATCTAAAATCATGCTGTTTTATATTATGACCGCTGTTAAATCCAAGGAACTGAGACATAGAGCTTTGGTGAGCACTGATTTACTGCTCTCATTCTAGTGCTGCAGTTTGTGAGCCAAGCTGACAACATCCAGTCCTGCAAGTTTGCTCAGACAATGGAACAGCGGTTGCAGAAAGCATTCCAGGACGCCGAGAGGAAAGTCCTGAATACCAAAAGCAACTTGACGATTCAGGTAGGGAGGAAGGTGCTTCAGACAACCACAATCCGGATTCTGGCAAGAAATGACTTGGGTCTTCCCTTTCAGAGCTGCCATGTATAAATGTATCTTTGTGCTTCAGGCATTGGTGAGGGTGTCTGGGGTCTGGCCGTGACGGGAGGGATGCTGTGTCACTATCCACCTACTGTGGTTCGGGGTTTTATATTTCTTTCCCCATGGGATGCTTTCTGAGGCCTTTCCAATACATTTAATTATTTTGAAAAGTTGAACTAGGCTGTAATGTATATGTTAAATGTCTGATATAAAATGAATAAATGAATCACTTCTAAATAGCTAAGTCACCAAGATTTGCCCATTCTGTTATTTGCATTGGGTTATATTCCAGTCACCTTAGTTTAGACACATGCCAAACACACACACATAAACTCACACACATACACACGCTCACACACATACACACACATTTTATATTGAAGGCTTTACTATGTGCCAGGAACTGTACTAAGTGTTTTACAAATATTTTGCTACATAATACTTAAGAAATCCTTCTGAGGTATTCTTACTCCCATTTCATAGAAGAGAGAACTGAGAGAGAGGCTAAGAAACTTCCAGAAGATCACACAGTTGGTAAAGAATGGAAAAAGGACCTGAGTCAAAAGCCCATGCTCTTATCCACTATGCTATGCTCATGTTGGTGCAGTGTAGAAATGGGGTCCTTAATGAAGCCTGTGTCAAACAAGGGAATTCTTTCCCGGGGAAATCCCTGAGATGCATCATGGCATGAGTGAGGAGGAAGTAAGAGCTGAGGTTAGAAGCTACAGGAGCCTAAGAGTTAAAGGGTGATGGGAAAGTGTTCCCTGTAGGGGCTGCTGCTATGGGGGGACAGGATTTTAGATGCTCTTGAACATTTAAACTACCCCTTTTTAAAGTTTTTAGTTGTTTGTAGAGATGGGGTCTCCCTATGTTGCCCAGGCTGGTCTCAAACTCCTGGGCTCAAGTGTTTCTCCCATCGCGGCCTCCCAAAGTGCTGATATTGCAGGTGTGAACCACCGCACCTGGTGCACCGTAGCGCAGCTTTTTGGATTAACAATGTACACAGCACCAAAAGCCTTTCTCAGATCTTTTAAAAATTGTTTTGCAATTACATAGACATCATCCCACAAAAGACAGATGCTTCTTAGTGATATTCATCTGGTCCCCAATTCACTCTTCTTTTCAATGTCTCTGTTTTGACTACTGAACTAAAGCCTTTGCTATTAGGCCCAGTGGTTTTGCAGTGGACATTTAGCATTAGTGAATTATCAGCAGAGGCAGTATGATGTAGAAAGCATACAATTTAACTTGAGTGAGCAGGTTTCCTGTTCTAGATTCATCCAAAGTGTAGATGGAAGTATCTTATTATGATTTGGTTCATGTTAGATGAACATCTAAAAATGTGTCACAGACTGAAGATTTATGTAAGGAGTGTGACTCAGCTCTCTTGTGGGAACTTTTTTTCTTTCTGATTGGTTTTGTGATCCTCACAGGTGCATGAGCCTAGTTAGATTTTGGCAGCACAGCATACTTTAATTGTATTCAGGAAGCACAGACTTACGGAGTGCCTGCTATTTATCAGGCACTGGAAAGGACACCAAGGTAAGCTGCCCTTGGCCTTAAGAAGCCTCCTTGTGTTGTTGTATGGTAGTTATGGGTCATTAGAGGAAACTTTATAAATCAAGTAACAAACCTTCCTTGGAAAAGACAATAGGAGGTGATTTGAAGATTACATCAAAATAAATTTTAGATATTCTTGAACATTTAAGCAATTTTGAAATGAATGGATAGTTAGATGAATTGTTTTTATTAATCCTGTTTCCATTTTTGCCTTGGCTGACGGGAAGCCCAGAGCCAAATTTGTTGCCTGGATTTAGTAACCCTCTGGGCCTCTATATTATGCATGGCACCTACATGCTGCCGCTCCCTTGGGGTTGTCTTTCCCCAGGACCTGGTTTTGTAATTAATAACCTTTCCTTTTATTGTATAATATATAATTTGTAAGGCACTTGGAATCCTTTGTGGAATAAGACCATGTAAATATTTAATTTGCTCAGAGAGTCATTGAAAAATAAACAACAACAAAAAAAGTGTATAGCTTTGGTATTAGGGACTAGATTACAGTGGACTCGATTAGGATGTTTTTGGTTTCCTGGGACAGAATCTAAGCTGATGAGGCTTAAGCAAAAAGAGGAAGTGATTGGCTCATGTAACTGAAAGGTTCACACTTACTTACTTCAGGCACAATTGTATCCAGGTGATTAGATGATTTCTTCATCAAGTTCTCTCTTCATTTCTTGGCTGGCTTTTCTCTGCACTGCCATTGTCCACAGAGCCCATGGGGTGACCCCTCGCATCCCCGTCTCCTCCTTGTTGCTCACAGTCTTGTGGAACCAAAGTGCCTTTTCTGGTTTCATTCCAGTAAAAATCCTGGGATTAGCTTTCATTGAACACGCTGTGCCCTTTCTGGATCAGTAACTGTGGCCAAGGAGATGAAGTATCCCGATCAACTAGGCCTGACCACTCCTGAAACCGGGGTGGGGCAGCCCCATCCAGAACACATGAGCAGAGAGGAGAGGTGGTTCCCTGAGGAAAATTCTGGTGCTATCAGGAAGGGAGGATGGGCCGGCAAACAACAGGTTTCTGTTCCATCAGCCTACAGGTCTTGTTAGCTAAATGAGCCACGGCGTGAGTAAGGGGTAAGTAAGAGATGAGGTTAGAGGCTACAGGAATCTAAGAGTTAAAGGGTGATAGGAAAGTGTCCCCTGTAGGGACTGTTCCTATTGGGGGACAGGGCATGAATTTCAGGGACCAGTGCCATGACTTTTAACCAGTAGGCCTCTTATTCTTGGACCTAGTCTTAAATATATATCAGAATGAGCTCACTTTTCTTACCTATAAAAAATGAGTATATTAAAGAATACACAAATAAATGGAAAGACTTCCTGTGTTTATGGACTGTGAGACTTAATATTGATTATTACTACCCAAAGGGATCTGAAGATTTAATGTAATCCCAGTGATTGTTTTTCACAGAAATAGAAAAATTAACCCTAAAATTCCCATGAATCTCAAGGGGCTTGGCATAGCCAAAGCAATCTTGAAAAGGAAGAAGAAGTTGGAGGCCCCACACTTCCTGATTTCAAAACTTAGTACAAAGCTACGATAGTCAAAACAATGTGGTTCTCTCATAAAGGCAGACATCCGAACAATTGGAATAGAACAGATAGCCCAGAAATAAACCCTCTTGTATATGGTCAAAAGGTTTTTGACAAAGGTGCCAAGGCTATTCAATGGAGAAGGGACAGTCTTTTTAACAAATTAGAAAAACTGAATATTCACATGCAAAAGAATGAAGTTGGATCCTTACCTAACACCATCCACCAAATGCAACTCCAGATGGATCAAAGATCTAAATGTAAGATCTAAAACAATAGGATTTTTATAGGAAAATACAGGGGGAACACTTCGTGACACAGTGTATTTGGCAATGATCTGTTGGACCTGACACAGGCAAACAAAAGAAAAAGTATGCAAATTAGACTTCATCCAAATTAAAAACTTTAGTGCATCAAAAAACACTACTAGCAGAGTGAAAAGGCAACTCATAGAATAAATGAAAAATATTTTCAAATCATATATCTGGTAAGCAGTTAGTATCCAAAATGTATAGCTATTACTTACAACTCAATAATAAAACCAAACAATCCAATTAAGACATTAGCAAAGAACTTGAATAGGCATTTCTCCAAAAAAAGATATACAGACGACTTAAGCATGTGACAAGATGCTCTACATCACTAATCATTAAAGAAATGCAAATCAAAACCATGAGATACCTACTCACAGCTATTGGGATGGCTATTCTCCAAAAATGGAAAATACTAAGTGTTGAGGACGGTGTGGAGAAATTGGAACCCTGGTGCATTGCTAGTGGGAATGTTGAATTAGTGCATCCACTGTGGAAGGCAGCATGGTGGTTTCTCAAATAACTAAATGTAGAACTACCATATGGTTCAGTACTTTGATTTCTCAGTATATACCAAAAAGAACTAAAGTAGGGACTCAAACAGGTATTTATACGCCCATGTACATAGTAGCATTATTCACAACAGCCAAAAGGTGGAAGCAACCCATGTGCCCATTAATTAATAAGTGGATAATAAAATGGCATACATACATACATACAGTGGAATATTATTCAGCCTTTAAAGGAAGGAGACCAGGCGTCGTGGCTCATGCCTGTAATTCCAGCACTTTGGGAGGCCGAGGTAGGTGGATCACCTGAGGTTGGGAGTTTGAGAGCAGCCTGACCAACATGGAGAAACCCCATCTATAATAAAATTACAAAATTAGCCAGGCGTGGTGGTGCACGCCTGTAATCCCAGCTGCTTGGAAGGCTGAGACAGGCGAATCACTTAAACCTGGGAGGTGGAGGTTGCGGTGAGCCAAGAACATGCCATTGCACTCCAGCCTGGGTGACAAGAGTGAAACTCCGTCCCAAAACAAAAAAAAAGAAATCAAAAGGAAGGAAATAATGGATGATTGGAATGCAGAAACATTCTTTAAAGGAAGGAAATTCTGATACATGCTACAACATGGATGAGACTTGAGGGCATTTTGCTAAGTGAAATAAGCCAACCACAAAAGGACAAATACTAGATGATTTCTCTTATGAAAGGTATCTAGAGCTGTCAAATTAATAAGCAATTCCACTTATAAGAGGTTTCTAGAAAGTAGAATGGTGGCTGCCAGGGGCTGTGAGGAGGGAGTCGTTAGGAGTTGTTTAGTGGGTCTAGAGATTCTGTTTGGGATGATAAAGAAGTTCTAAAGATAGGTGGTTGTGATGGTTGTACAACAGTGTGAATGCACTCAATGCCACTGAACTATACACTTAAAAGGGTTAAATTGTATGTGTGCATTTTACCACAATAAAAAATAGTTATAATTTAGCTGGACAAGTGTAGTATATACAGAGGCACCCATGTTGCAGACTTTGTAGGCTTCCTCAGGCTCCGTTTAGGTTTTTGTTTCGTTTTGTTTCGGAGGCAGGGTCTGACTGTCTCCTAGGCTGGAGTGCAGTGGCATGATCGTGGCTCACTCCAGCCTTGAGCTCTTGGACTCAGGTTATCCTCCTGCCTCAGCCTCCCAAGTACCTGGGACTGTAGGCATGCAACATCAGGCTTGGCGAATTTTTTTTGTTTTTTTTCTTTTTGTAGAGACAGGGTTTTGCTGTGTTGCCCAGGCTGGCTTGAACTCCTGGGCTCAAGTGATCCACCCACCTCAGTTTCCCAAAGTGCGGGATTACTGGCATGCGCCACCACACTCAGCCAGAATTTGGTTTTGTTGAGAAGTAAAAAATGGAATGTTCACAATACAGATAAAGATTTAAAAGGGTTTTTTTTTTAGTTATTGTTTTTTTTTTTTAGGTGGCAGTATGGTGAAGTTTTTTGAATTTTTCAGAAAGAAGTGCCTTTCTTTTTGGTACCTTGGGAAAGAATATGGTTAGCCACAGGTATTCGTGCCTTGGGAAAGAGGCTCAACCACATTCCAAAAATACTTCCTGAGAAGAGAGTCAGAGTCGAACAGACCTGCTGATTTATTGTTAGTCATGGGAATACAGGTTCTGGATTAAACAGTTTAGAAGGGACCAGGTGTGATGGCTCACAGTTGTAATCCCAGCACTTTGAGAGGCTGGGATGGGAGGATCATTTGAGCCCAGGAGTTTGAGACTAGCCTGGGCAACAAAGTGAGATCCCATGTCTACAAAAATAAAGTAAATTAGCTGGGAGTGGTAGTGTGTGCCTGTAGTCCCAACTATCTGGGAGGCTGAGGCGGGAGGGTTGCTTAAGCCTAGGGGTTCAAGGCTGCAGTGAACTATGATCAGGTCACTGCACTTCAGCTTGGCCAGCAGAGTGAGACCCTGTCTCTAAAATATCCACTTACGGGAAAAAGTGGGAAATAAAATGAAGAGCTCTTCTAGATAGTTTCCTGGTAATGGATTTCCTAAAAACCCTGACTTGATCATTACACATTCTATGCATGTAACAAAATATCACATGTACCGCATACATATAGATAAATATGTATCATTTTTTAAAGTCTGTAAATTTTTTTTAAAAAAGGAAAGTGGCAGAGATGTTAGTGTCTGAGCACACAAAGGTCTGGGAAAGATGGGGTGTTAGTCGGTATCCTGACAGGAAAGGGAGGCTGCACTCCAATGAAGGTGGCTTTGTAGAAAGTAGAGTGGGCAGGCTCCAGGGGAACCACAGGAGCAGTACATTACCCAAGGCTCTAACAGCTGGGACCCGAGGGGGTGAGTGCAGGGTGGTACGAGGTTCATTGACCCCGCAAGGAGGGAGTCCTGGGCATCAGTACTCTGACCTCACCCACCTCCCTCTCTCCCACATGCTCCTGAAGGCGGTGGAGCCCATTGGGGTTCTCCAGAAGGGTCTGTCTCTGGGGGCACCAGACAGGGTAGAGAGGGTGGGTGGCAGGCACATCTGGAGGGGAAGGGAAGGCACCCAGCACAGAAATTCACAAAAAAAGGCCTCACCAAGTTGAATAACTTCCTTCTAACGATGTTTTTCAAGTCTCATCTGTGGGATATTTTTGTTCACACATTGACCCAGAAAGCTTCATTTCCAGCAACTGAAAAACTGGCTTAGACAAAATGTGAGAAGAAAACCATGCCATCTCATAGGATGTTCTACACATTCTATATTGAATTAATAGATCATGAGGAAGTGTAATTGCTCTCTAAAGAATGTATTCTATATTTCTGATTTCCTTTTTTTTTTGGAGACAGAGGCTCTGTCTCCCAGGCTGGAGTGCACTGGTGCAATCTCAGCTCACTGCAACCTCCACCTCCCAGGTTCAATCGATTCTCCTGCCTCAGCCTCCTGAGTAGCTGGGATTGCAGGTACCCACGACCATGCCTGGCTAATTTTTGTTTTTTGAGTTTTTTTCAGTAGAAACAGGTTTTCACCATGTTGACCAGGCTGGTCTCAAACTTCCAACTTCAGGTGATCCGCCCTCCTTGGCCTCCGAAAGTGCTGGGATTGCAGGCGTGAGCCACTGCACCCAGCCTCTGAATTCCTTTTCTAATTAGATTCTGTCACTCTGCCCATGGCCAGGCTGGTGATCAGCTCTGTTCGCTCTTGGTCCTTTCAACTTTCAAATTCCCTGAAAATTTGATTCAGGCTTTCTCTGTCTGAGCAGTTGATCCCTCCTTAAATGTAACATGCCAATGCTCTATTTTATATTTTTAGAATCATAAAAGTAACCTGAGACTATTTAACCCAGGAAAAGATACACATAGCAGTGGTTAAGGACCTGGAGTTGAACCACCTGGGTTTGAATCCTGACTGCCCCTTCTTAGTTGTGTGACCTCGGGTGGGTCCCTTGATCATTCTGGGCCTCAGTTTCCTCAACTGTGAAAGGGAGTTATCACTGGTTACAGCTCCTAGGGTTGTGGTAAACTTTAAATAAGATGACGTGCCCTTAGCACCCTGCCTGGCGTACAGCAAACAATCAGAAATGATGATGGTTACTCTTGTCTCTTCCTTGCTGTTTCACCAAACCCCTTTCATTCCTTCCCTCAACTCCTGCTTAGCCTCCCCCTCCCATGGCCTCCATGAAACAGACCCTGGTCTTATTTGACCTGTCTCCCTCCCCTTTTCTCCTGTGTTGATTCAGATTGTGAGCACGTCCAACGCCTCCCAGGCAGTCACCTTGGTGTACGTCGTGGGCAATCAGAGCACGTTCCTCAATGGCACCGTCGCCAGCAGCCTCCTCACCCAGCTCTCGGCTGAGCTGGTGGGATTCTACCTCACTTACCCACCACTAACCATTGCTGAACGTGAGTATGGCCATGCTGACGGGGACCCCAATGTTTCCCCTGGGGCCTTTCTCCATTTAGCAAACAGTTATGGTGCCAGGCCACATATGACCTCCTTTATCATAAAGTGACAGCTAAAATATGTGATGCATTAAGGTTGAATTGATGAAGTTTAGTGCACCTCAAAGAAAGCACTTGCTGGGTGCTTTCATCCTTCACATTTCTCTTACCTCATTTAATCCTCAGAACGGCCCTATAAGACAGGTGCAAAATTAGCCCCGTTTTGTAGAGGAGAAAACTGAAGTTCCAAGAGGTTTCATAAGATACCCACTCTCACATAGTGAGCCATGGGGCCTGAGGTTTGAACCCAAGCAGTCTACCTTCTGAGCTTGCAATTCTGCCTGCTAGGGCAGCTGTCCTCTGCGCAATCTGGGTTGCTATGGTTTTTCTCCCGCTGATGCCATCAAATGTTCCCAGGCCTTCGGGCTCGGCCCTGCCTCCAGATATCATAGTGTGACTCATTTGCAGTCCACAGTGTGACTTCACTTGCTGAGATCCCCACAGTGGCCTCAGCCTCTGTGGCCTCATCTTCCTCTAACGTTTCAGTTATATAATCTCATTAACATGCAACAGGCATAGACTTCAAAGATGCAGCAGGCTACATTTTGTATCCAAATGTTTATTTGGTAGCCAAAGGATGGAAAGGTTTGAACTCCTAAATTTAAACATTCTTACATTTCACAAGATCCCTAGGCAAGCTTATTTTTTAATACATATTAGCAAAATAGTCTCATAATTTCTTTCCTGTAGCTGTTTTCGTTACTGTAAATAAACAAGATAATCTGCATGAATATACTCAGCACACTGCAGCCGCTCAATTTTTTTTCAAATCTTTGTTTAATGGCAAGCTCGTGTAAATGTCCACATAGTAAGGAAAGATGACTCTGGATTTTAGAAAAAAGATGATGTCATAAATGATGGCATTACATCACATATCAGCATATGAAGACTTTATTTTCCATCATTCTTTTATTTCTGAAAACAACTACGATTTATTGAGCACTAACCATATGCCAAGGCAATGTACCAATCCCTTTGCATGTATCAACTCCAGCAGTCACCATACCTGTAAAGAAATATGGACCTTTTGTTACAAGCATTTGGCTACTAAACTTAAGTCCTTGACATTGAAAAAAGCCATCTAAAAGGTAATCATTCCTAACAATGTTAGTGATGGCCAGATAATTTTAAAAGAGAAAGTTACAGCAAAGACAGGTTCCTGCTATGGGTCTTGGTGAAGAAGGTGTTCTGTTTGAACGGAAGATTTTGATGAAAAAACGGAAAGGGCAGAAACTCACAAATCCTAGAAAACTGTCCATCTACAAGTTGGCCCTTTACTGAGTCTTTTAGTTTCCCAAACAGTGAGATGGTTTTGGTCCGTTATGTCCTAGAATCCCTAAGAATCACAAAGCAGGATTTAGCTGCTTGCTATTTTTTCCTTAACAAAATTTCAAATAAGCCAGGTGCCATAACACACGCTCGTAGTCCCAGCTACTCAGGAGGCTTAGGTGGAAGGACCGCTTGAGCCCAGGAGTTCAAGAACAGCCTGAGCAACATATCAAGATCCCATCTGAAATATAAATAAATAAACAAATAAATAAAACGAAACAAATCAAACCTATAAAAGTAATTGGGTGTGTTTCTTGTTTGTTTTAGCGCTGGAATATCCCAACCTGGACATATCAGAAACAACCAGAGACTATTGGGTAATTACAGGTAATCTCTTACTTTGTTATTTCCCCTCTTCGTGCTGTCAGATTTCTTTCTTTTTTTTTTAAACTGCAGGCCATTCAGGAATAAGATTGGCACTTTTCTTTGCTTCTGTCTTATAAGTCAGGAAGTTACTTCTACAGGAGCAGAAGTGAATGGAGTAGATAACATAAGACATCACAATGGAGATGAATATGAGCTAAACCATTTAAAACAGCTTTCAAGTCCTCACTCAGTGGCCCCCTCTTTGGAAAAAGTGACTCTATCAGAAGTTACAGCATTAACCCAAGGAGGTCTAGGGCATGTCCTTGTGAATGGTGATCAGCTTACAGATGGAAGGCCTGTAAGGCCTTTTCTGCACTGCCCTACAAAACCCAAATTAAAGTTAGAGGAAGGCTGGGCGTGTACTGGCCTCTTTGTCCTGGCACGGCACGCACCCACACTCATCCTGGCATGTCCTGACAGTGAGGGTGTTTGGAAGTAGAAGCGGATTCTTCTGGTGGTGTTTTCTCTTTTGTTCCTTGACATTTTCCAGGGGAGCTTTATGGAACAGCAAAAAAGTTCTTCTTTGTGTATTTCATAAGCCAGACAGTAGTTTTGGGAATTGGAGAAACAAGGATTGGGAGCTGAAGAGCAGATGTTTGTAGGAGGAAAAGTGACCAGCCTAGCCAGGAAGGAGAGGAACAGGAGGAGAAATATATGAGTCTGTTGGCACTGCCATAACCAAGTGCCACAGACCGGGGGCTTCAACAACAGGCATTTATATGCTGTCAGTCCTCGAGACTAGATGTCTGATCGCCTTCTTTGTAGACCTCTCTCCTTGGTTTAGTCATCTTCCTGCTGCATCTTCACATGTCCTTTGCTCTGGGTCTGTCTCTATCCCAGTCTCCTCTTCTTTCAAGGACACCAATCATATCCAATTAGGGCCCCCCAATATGACCTAATTTTAACTTCATTACTTCTTTTTTTTTTTTTTTTGAGACGGAGTTGCTCCTGTGGCTCAGGCTGGAGTGCATTGGTGTGGTCTCAGTTCATTGCAACCTCCACCTCCTGGGTTCAAGCGATTCTCCTGCCTCAGCCTCCCAAGTAGTTGGGGTTACAGGCAAACACCACCATACCTAGCTAATTTTTTTTGTATTTTTAATAGAGATGGGGTTTCACCATGTTGACCTGGCTGTTCTCGAACTCCTGACCTCAGGCAATCTGCCCGCCTTGGCCTACCACAGTGCTGGGATTACAGGTGTGAGCCGCCATACCCAGCCTAACTTTATTACTTCTTAAAAGGACAAATCTCTAAATACAGTCACATTCTGAGGTTCTTGGGGGTTAGGGTTTCAACATAGGAATTTGGGGGGACAGACCAGGTGTGGTGGCTCATGCCTGTAATCCCCGAACTTTGGGAGGCTAAGGAGGATGGATTGCTTGAGGTCAGAAGTTTGAGAGCAGCCTGACCAACATGGTGTAACCCCATCTCTACTAAAAATACAAAAAAAAAATTAGCCCAGCATGGTGGTGGGTGCCAGTAACCCAGCTACTTGGGAGCTCGAGGCAGGAGAATCACTTGAAACCAGGAGAAAGAGGTAGTAGTGAGCCAAGAGCATGCCACTGCACTCCACCCTGGCCAACAAAGTGAGACCATGTCTCAAAAAAAAAAAAAAAGAATTGGAATTGGAGGGGGACACAGGTTGGCCTGTAACAGGCTGGAGGAAGATCCTGCAAGTCCTAGAAGATGTGCTGGGTAAGCAGCCTGGTCCCAAACCTCCCTTCTGTCCTCTCCCATCCCCTCTCTCACTCCCTGTCCCAAACAAGCAGCAGATGGGCTGCTGCCTAAAATACTAAGGACTGCACAGCCCTGCTGGATGAAGCCTGCTCGAGAACTCTTCTAAACTGCAGAACAGCACATTTCTTTCCCCCCGCTGCAGAGCCATTGGTGTGCAGAAATGATTTTACCTGCTAAGAAAGCAAGCAAAACAGCCAACCCACCAAGGTTTATGCCCAAGAGGGAAACAGTGCTAACCCAGCAACACATTTTTGGAGCCACTGGCTTATGTAACATTTACAAAATCACATTTCCTCCGGGTGTTTTTTAATGTAGAGCTATTCCTCCTTTCTATAAACTTTAAGGTTTACATGAAGCGATAACACATCCACCCTTCGCCACAGGTGGTCCTTAACCTCTTGGGTCATCCTTTCCTCATCTACCCGTGTCTTGCCCTGCCTCTATTTTGGTGACATAACCTTAATCAAAAGCTCCATGCTGGGTCATGTTTTCAGGACTCTCCTCATATTTAGTTCTCTGCCCACTCACTTATGAACCCCTTATTTGTTATTGCTGTTTGTGTTCAGAATAAACAGCGGCTTCCATCGCTGTGTTTAGGGCCAGCTGGATCAGCTGGTTAGGGCTTGGGAGGGGCTGGAACTAGGTCTCAGGGTGATCATCCTGCCTTCTCTTTGATTCACAGCCACCTTCTGAACCCCTAGGTAGTCACCAACCAAACTACCCCATAATTTACCAAAAGGGTAGTGGATGGGGACCTAAGAGATCCATCCAGCCTTTAATCCTGGACATGCATCACAGGCTTTCTGTCTTCTGCTCATTTCTAACAGCCAAGAGGATTTGAAGCCATCTCTCTTCTGTAGTTTGTATTACAAAAGCCTGACATGTTTTCATCTGTTTTCCAACTAAACTTATATTAAATAGATTTTTGCAAACTGTACATACTTCTCCTGTCTCAGAGGGTAGGTTCCTTCTTGATGGAAAATCATTGGCTTAAGGTGACTCCTGAAGTCTGTCTTTACAGAGAACCCAGGGGCTACCTGCCACTCAGGGGTCCTGCAGTGAGGTTTGTATATATGAGGCAGGATAGAAATGTGCAGATTCAATATTGCCACCAGACAGAGGGGAGAGCTGATTTCAGGCTTATCCGTCTGCCTTTATTTCACCCGCCAGAGGCCAAATATCCCAGACCCAGCAAAGGAAGAATTTCTTCTGGTCTCAGCTCTGCCATTTTCTTCTTTTTTTCTTTCTTTCTTTTTTTTTTTTTTTTTTTTTTTTGACAGGGTTTTTCTCTTTTTTTCCAGGCTGGAGTGCAATGGTGCCATCTCGGCTCACTGCAACCTCCGCCTCCTGGGTACCGGCAATTCTCCTGCCTCAGCCTCCTGGGTAACTGGGATTACAGGCATGCGCCACCATGCCCAGCTAATTTTTCTGTATTGTTAGTAGAGACGGGGTTTCACCATGTTGACCAGGATGGTCTTGATCTCTTGACCTCGTGATCCACCCACCTCAGCCTCCCAAAGTGCTGGGATTACAGGCGTGAGCCACCGCGCCCGGCAGCTCTGCCATTTTCTAACCTAGCGTGTCCTTGAGCAAGCCACTCGGGCCACGTGGACTTCACATTCTCCTTTTGTAGGAGGAGGGAGAAGTATTAGCTGAGTATTAAGATTCTTTCAGTGCTAAATATGTAGGATCCAACCACATAAGACAATTTAGCCTGAGTACAGAAGTCTGAACCTGGCCCCAGTGTGATGGTGAATAAAGAATGAGTAAGAGAACGGTAATGCGAAAGTCATTGAATCTTCTGGACAAAGCTCCTTTGAACCCAGCTGGGGATGTGTCCGACTCCTCTAAACTGTCAGTGGTGGCCAAGGCTGGGGGGCCAGGGCCCTGGCTGATGTGCTAGGGAGCTGTTGTCTTCCTGGTCATCTGTGCCAGATCTGACCTTCTGTGGTTCTGTGGTTTCTGTGTCTCTGTGAGATAGAGGGGTACACACCCCTTTCTGCCGCCTTCCCGGTGAACAGAGAGGGTTCGGGAGCCTGAGCCTGCCACATTTTTCAGTGGAAGGGGGAGGAGCCATGTCCTGAGACCCCTTTCCATGCTTTGCAGGTGTTTTCTTCCTTTGGTAAGGATGTGTTTAGCAAAGAAGGGGCACATTGTAGCAATAGCAGCTACCTTTTATTGGCATTTCCTTGAGGGCCTTATGATAGCACCAGGCTAGAAGGATTTTTTATTGAATTATCTTTTCTTAGCAGTGACACAATCAGTAGTAGATCATGATTCCTGTGTTTTCAGATGAGGAACTGAGGCATAGAGAAACTCAGCAACTTGCCTGAGGACACTCAGAAAGGGGAAGCCAGGATGCAAACTCAGGGCCCTGTCTCCTCCCCAGCTGCCCCCTAAGAAAGACACATTCCCTTTGTAAAGACTGGCGATGAAGTTGTGGAGATTGTCCAGTTGATCCCCTGTAACTCCGTGGGAGGTTCCCACAGCCTCTGGTACTTCTCTGGAGGCTTTTTTTTTTTTTTAACAAAAAATTTTTATTTGTTGGGTATGTTGGCTCACACCTGTAATCTCAGCACTTTGGGAGGCTGAGATGGAAGGATTGCTTAAGCCCAGGAGTTTGAGACCAGTCTGGGCAACATAGCAAGATCTGATCCCTACCCAAAAAAAAAAAAAAAAAAAAATAGCCGATGTGGTGGTTCATGCCTGTAGTCCTGGCTACTTGAAGGCTGAGACTGGAGGATTGCTTGAGCCCAGGAGGTCGAGGCTGCAGTGAGCCATGATCCTGCCACTGCATTCCAGCCTGGGCAACAGAGAGAGACCCTGTCTCAAAAGAAAAGAGAAAACAATTTTATTGTAAAATATACCTAACATAAAAGTTACCATTTTGAACATTTTTAAGTGTACAATTTAGTGGCATCAGGTATACCCACAATATTGTACAACTGCCAATGCTATTTCCAGAACGTCCCCTGGAGGCTTTTGACTGTTCCCTTTATTTGATGTCTGTCTTTGAAGCATCACTGAGATTCCCATAAAATAATCCCCAATGATACCTCTTGACTGTCCTGTGTCCCCTCTGTTACTCTTGGCCAGTGGTCAGGAGAGGACAACTTAGAAGTTATTTGATCTGTCATTTTGCTAGAGGGGTTATCTATGAACCAGCAAGTACATGGGCTTTTCTGTCTGGGGCGAAGAGGTGGGCCAGCCCTTCCTTGGCCTGATAACTGTGTCATGAGGGATTCCAGGGGGTCCTCTGGGACCTGACGCAGTGGGAATAACACAAATCTTTGTTTTATGAATTTGCAGGAATTTGGCTGATGCATGAGCTGGGAGTGTCTCACAAGGGCCCTAGAGAGAGAGAGCTGCTCTATACTCTCCAGGGGGATTATTTGGCATTTATGGCTTCAAAGAAGTAATTTCAGAGACTTAGCTGTGGGTTTTCTTGCTTGCTTGATATATTTAAACATCATTCTCTGTATCTATTGTTGCCAGTGATCTGGGCTTGTCTGGAATGCGATCATTAGCGTTGGCTGCTGGTAGGCCCTTGTTGTACTGGATGCTGTAACTACAACACGTTCTTCACCTCCAAGCTATTTCCATATCCTGGTAAATGGATGGTATCAATGATCCTTGGATAGAATCTGGTAGAAGAAACTATGTTAAATGAAAAGTCTCATAATTCCAGCCCTTGCGAGTTTTGGTCTCTTTAAGAAAATGAGATTTGCTTTTAGCATTTTTACTTTTAAGCATGACTGTGTTTGAAGAAAGCCTTTGTGTGTTTAGGATGAAGTATGTTTCCCAAGAGATGTGGAACAAGGACTGGACTTTGGGGGCAGACAGAAAAAGGGAGTTGCCCTCATAGTAAGTGAACACAGCAGTCCTAGAACATCCCTAGTGGCCATGAAAACCCTCCTCCTTGCACCCACCATGGCTGCAGCTGTCATTCATGACTTACCTGTTGACTACGGTGTAGATGGGACCTACCGGGGGAGAAAGGATGGGGAAGAAGGGTGCTCCCTTTATCTTCCTCTCAGCAGGCGCTGTTCTAAGCTTCTTTGCATATCCTGTCTCATTTAAACCCTAGAGCTCATTGGGCTTATGTGGGCTGTGATGTGTACTTTCTCATTGCCTTGTTATAGAAAAGGACTTGGACTCAGAGAGGGCCAGTGGCTTGCCTGATGTCCTGAAACTGATCAGTGCCATAAGAGACAGCCCCCTCTTTCCATTCAACTGTCCTTTTCTTGAATGAGAGAGCATCTGAGGGGCCTGGGTAGCTTTGGGGTGGTCACTCAAAGGACCCCATAGAGGAGGCAGAGATGAGGGCACTGAACAGGGTAGTCCACTCAGATATAAAGGATCGAGTTGCAGACGGAGCTCAGATTCCTCAGCAAGGCTGTTGAGAAGGCAAAATAAAACAGGAATAGCCCTGAGCCAGACTTTGAGTGGAAACCAGCAAAAATACTCATTACCCACACCTGCAGCTCTGCCATATTCCCATGTGGACTTTTAGTAACACTGATCATCATCTTAAGTGACGTTTGGGTTAAACACAACAGTATTAACAATGCCACAGCTTATAGAGGAACAGGGCCCAGGTTCTGGAGTTATACAGTCTGGCTTGGGTTTGGACCCTGACTCTGCTGGTTATTAGCTGTGTGAACTCAGACAGTCACTTAATCTTTTCAACATCTATAACATGTGGATAATGATTGTCATGGGGCTGTCACGAAGATGAAGTGAGGTAAGGATGGCAAAGTCCTAACATGAGGTAGGTCACAGTGGCCCTTGGTGGCCTGTGCAGGGTCAGTGGTGCTTGTGCTTACTGAATCGGCAGGCAGCCCCCCTTCTGAGCCTCTCCTCTGCCTTCTGCATCCACAGTGCTGCAGGGCGTGGACAATTCGCTGGTGGGACTGCACAACCAGAGCTTCGCCCGGGTCATGGAGCAGCGCCTGGCCCAGCTCTTCATGATGTCCCAGCAGCAAGGCCGGCGGTTTAAACGGGCCACCACCCTGGGAAGCTACACTGTGCAGGTGGGTGTATGTAGAGCCACTGGGGTTTTCTAATAACTAGGGGTGGAGAGGAGGGAATGTGCTTCCTGAGACTAAATAAGTCAATGTGCACAGAGGAGCATCCATGCTGCAAACTGAGTAGGCTTTTTTATCAAATGCTGCTCTTAGGTTTTGAGAATTGATGGTCATAACCATCAAAAACATGAAGGAGGGTGAGAGTTAGCTGCTCCTCAGACATTGTCACTAACTGGGTTATAACAAAAGGAAATTTCAGTACAAAATCTACACTCAGGCAATATTTTTGAAACAAAAAGTTCTTGGTAAGCAGGGACATCATCAGCTGATTCAGCAAGCTCAATGAAATCCCAGGTCTCTGTCCTTTTGGACTTGTTCACCTTCATCCCTCTGAATGGCAGATGCACCATTATTCCAGAGACAGGATTCTGTTACCTGTATGTAGTCAGTTTCAATAAACAGACCCTTCCAAGCTTATAGTGGACACCTGGTCATATAGAGATTTAGGCTGGAGGAATGCAGCAGACACTAGTTGTGTCCATCCCACATCCCCTTACCGTTTCTGTGCATGCCAGTTGGAGTTCCAACAGGCAGCCTCTAAATCTTTTTCAGAGGGCTGCTTTTGAGATGCCAAAACCTGCTTTGCCCATGCCGTGCTGGCTGAAGGTGCCTGGGAATTACCAGTGATAGGGATGTATAAATACCCCATCTCTCTCACTTCTTGGCTAGGAAAATTCTGAAATGTATGTTTTAGATCATTTTCAGAACTTTCCCACAGAATTAAACTTTAGTCATCCACTGCATGACTGGCTTAATAACACACCCCTTGTAGGCTCCTTCCCATTCCTGTGTTACCTCCTCAGCCTCCTGCCAGTTCCTTGCACCTCTCAGATAAACTGGAAACACTCAGCTCTTCTCAGGGTCTGCTTCTGAGGGAACCCAGTCAAGGCAGTAGCTATCCCCAGGAGGAGAGATTCTAAACCTATCTAGATACTTTAGCCAGTTCCTGTGAGAGTGGGGGCCTCTCTGGCATATTCTAGCCAGTCTGCCTATCTTGACTTGCACTGTCACCACTGAGAACTCATGTCCAACATGTGTTGTGCTAATTAACAAAGCTCTGTTGAGCATGATGTAAAATTAGAGAAGCCCTCCTGGTAGCTGCCTCTGGAGTTGGAACTTCCTAACTGGAATCTAGCAGACTACCCCAGGCATGTGAACCCCTGATTGATGATGGATCACATCTAGGGTGTAACTGAACCATAGCACACATGCCTAGTATCACACTGTCTGTGAGTAAGCATTTTAAAGGAAATTGCAGCCACTAGCATAGTCTGGGTACAAATCTGGTCCCCAGGCAATCTTGAAAGTATAGACAACCCATCTTAATGAACACACTTCCCTGCATGAGTCATCATCATGCCCCTGACGGAGACCCCGGGTCCCTCCATTCACACTTGGTGAATTTGGCCCTTTGTCCTATTGGATGTTGCTTTGGTTCTAAAAGTCTTTGGGTCTGGGATGACTGTATCATGAGATAAAGTGATGGTTAAATTTGCATGTCAGGTTTGTGATTTCTCCTTCGTAGGTTCCATGTGAGCTCTATAATTTCCACTCTTCCAAATGACAAGAAGAAAGCACTGGTGCTCAGATAACTGGGAACTGGGATTTGCATCAGCCAAAGGGGGAGAAGGGGCCGCTCTACAACCCTGGTGTTATTTGTAAACCCAAGAACCCTAACACATTTTGCATGCCAAAGGGCTCAGAGAGGTGTTCTTTCATTTCTTCTAAGAGCGCAGTGCACTTGGCCCCTTTAGCTGCCTGGAAAGTCTGAATGAAGCAGGTGGGGTTTTATTTCTGCAAATCCCTAATTTACAGAGGCTGTAGATCACCTTGTAAGATATCCTTAAACCAATCTTGGCAAGAAGAATTTGCTATTAAGTTGAAGTTGGGAGCAGCTATTAGATGTTGAATGGTCATTCACCTTCTACTGGATTGTACTAACACTTTCCGCACCTCCTTTCCCACTAGGAAAAGGAATAACATGCCCAAGTTTCCCCCCAAAATTCACTCTGCGTGGCTTACAATATCGTTCTACCCTGAGGCCTTTCTTCTGGGCTTAGATCATTTTAAAAGATGAGCTACCTTCATGAATATGGAGATTTAACTGTCTAGAATCTAAAGATATTTCTCTAGTTGACATATTTGAAAAACTGAGGCCTAAGAGGAAACATATGACCACGAAAAATTTTTAAATATTTGACTTACTTTGTAACCAAAGTAAGGCAAGTTTAAACTACCGCAAGATACAGTTTTCACCTACCAAAGATTAGTAAAATGCTGCAATCCAGTGTTGATGAGGATGCAGTGAAAAGGGCGCTTTCAAACAGAGCAATTGGGTACGACTTTTCTGGAGGGAAAGTTAGGAATTTAGACCAGAACGTTTTAAATGATCACAAACTGACTCCTAGAAATTTATCTCAAGTACATTCAAATAAATTTTTTTTTTGCTGAATAATATTCTCTTGTATGAATATACTACAGCGTGTCCATTCCATTGATGTACGCCTGGGCTTTTCCAGTTTGTAGCTATTAAACAAGGCTGCTGTGAACGTTCTTCCACAAGTCCTTTGGTGGCCACATGCTTTCACTCATCTTAGGTATATAGGCTGAAATTGCTGGTTCACAGGGTTGGTGTACATTAGCTCTATAGGAAACTGCCAGACCTTTCTCCAAAGTGGTTGCACCATTTGCACTCTCACCAAACAGACAGGTGTTCCAGTTGTTTCACTTCCTCATCAACACTTGGTGTTGTCAGTTCTTTAGCCATTCTGGTGGCTATAGAGTGGTCTCTTGTGGTTTCAATTTGAATTTCCCCATTGAGCATTTTTTATGTGTTTATTGGCTATTCAGACTTCTTCCTTTGTGAAGTGTCTGATCAGATCTTTTGTCCATTTTCTGTTGGGTTGTAGTAATATCTACTTTCTAATTGTTACGTATAGCATACCTACAAAACAGTATAAGAAAGACAGGCCGAGGCGAGCAGATCACGAGGTCAAGAGATCGAGATCATCCTGGCCAACATGGTGAAACCCTGTCTCTACTAAAAAATACAAAAATTAGCCTGTAGTCCCAGCTACTCGGGAGGCTGAGGCAGGAGAATTGCTTGAACCCAAAAGGCAGGGATTGCAGTGAGTCGAGGTTGTGCCACTGCACTCCAGCCTGGCGACAGAACAAGACTCTGACTAAAAAAAAAAAAAAAAAAAAAGAAAGACAGAGTTTAAATGATGCTAGTTAAAATAATCCACAACGCAATGGGTAAGAACATTATCCTTACCTTATCCCAAAACCATTTATGTGTTTTCTCTGATTGTACTCCCTTCCCTCCCTTCAGAGTTGAGAGTGAATCCAAATTTTGTATTAAATCATTCCTGTATTTTTTTGTATAGATTTTACCATCCACGCATGTATTATAGTTTTGCTTAATTTTGAACTTTATATTTTGTGATTTGTTCCTTTTGCTCAACATCAGGCTGTTGTATTCATCCACAGTGATACAAATAGCCATAGTTCATTCATTTTTACCACTACACTATAGTATTTCATCGTGTGAATATGCAGTAGCTCTTATCCAATCTATTATTAACAACTTTTGAATTTTTAGTCTTTTTACTATTATAAACAATGTTTCTATCAACATTTTTGTAATATCTTTTAATATCCTGTGAAACTCATAATCTGTAAAATAAAGGAAAATACTGTAATATTTATGATTTGTCAATTATAACAGCAAAAAGTTGATAACCTAAATATTTAATAATCAAGGATATTAGTTCAATTTGCCAGGCATACATATGGTAGAATGCTATGTAGGTAGTAAAACTTACGTTTTAGTATTTATTATTATCAGCTGTTAATTACAGTAGTTAAAAAATTAGGAACAATCTAAATGTTTAATATAAAGGATTCTTTTTTTTTTGAGATGGAGTCTCACTCTGTTGCCCGGGCTGGAGTGCAGTGGCATGATCTTGGCTCATTGCAACCTCTGCCTCCTGGGTTCAAGCAATTCTCTGTCAGCCTCCCGAGCAGCTGAGATTACAGGTACCTGCCACCATGCCTGGCTAATTTTTTGTATTTTTAGTAGAGACGAGGTTTCACCATCTTGGCCAGGCTGATCTTGAACTCCTGACCTCATGATCCACCTGCCTTGGCCTCCCAAAGTGCTGGATTACAGGCATGAGCTACCACACCTGGCCAATAAAGGATTCTTTAAATAAGTTTATGAGCTATGCATGAGAATGTCATGTAAAAATAAACGTTTATGCTTTTGTTATATTTAAGGTCCTTTAAAAATGCAAGTAAAAATTGCAAGATATTGTATCTAGACTATGATAAATAATTTTGTAAACTGATAAGGAAAAGGTTTGTGTGGGAAAAAACAAAGAATGGAAGGAAATACTCTACAATGGCAACAGTAATTAGCTTGTGATAGAAGGATTACAGATTGTTTTTACTTTATTTCTTGATGCTTTTACATATTTTAAGGTTTTCCTATAGGGAATATGTATACCTTTTAGAGTTAAAAAAAAAAAGCACAGCCAGTATTTTAGAAAAAGAACATTGGGTTTCTAAGAAGTGCTTTTATCAGAGATCTTTTGAATTGCAGATGTCTAAGTTAATTTTTCCCCCTCTCTGGCAATTACAGATATTTGAAATTAACAGTCTTGATTGAGAATAACCTAACATGCCCTGAATTAAATACAGAGGCCTATTTTCAAATGAGGCCAGAGTTCTGTGGATGCTGGGAGACATCACTATCCTGTGTTTTCTTCTCCAACTGCAAACTGTTCTTTCCAGATGTTCATATTTTTCGAACCCTTTTTTCTCCTCCCAGTTTCCTGCTCCAGCGAGAGCAGGCTTCTTGAGAGACTGGACATAGGGAGGTATGCAGAGGTTGGTGCCTAACCACAGAAGACTTCAGCAGTCGTGAGAGGAACATCTGCTGATCACCTGGGTGATTGCAGGGTCGATACAAGATGTCCTGTAAACACCCGGCCTCTCTTTTTCTGAAAGATGGTGAAGATGCAGCGTGTGCCAGGCCCGAAGGACCCGGCGGAGCTGACTTACTACACCCTGTACAATGGGAAGCCTTTGCTGGGGACCGCAGCTGCCAAGATCCTGAGCACCATTGACTCCCAAAGGATGGCCTTGACCCTGCATCATGTTGTCCTTCTGCAAGCTGACCGTAAGGGGATGGTCTTTTTCTTCAGTCTTTTTAATGCCATTAAATGTTTCCTGAGAATCAAAATGATTCCCCAAACTTATGGTGATGGTCTCAGAGCTAAACATATTTGCATTCTGGAAGGCTCGTAAATCAATCAGCTTTGTTTCTGTGTTGTTTGATGCGATAAGGGATACGTTTTGGATATTGGAAGTATGATAATGATACTGCTTTTCCCCCGAGTCCTACCTACCCTTCCTCTTTAGCATAATCTAGTGAACAGCTTATGAAAATCACAACTGAGATTATTTTTGTATGCCAGAGGATTTAGAGATCATTTGATTCAACAAACATTTATAGAGTTCTACATGAAGTCGCTTAGTGCTAGCGGATGTGTGGAAGTGGGCGAGACTTGGCGGCTGCCCTTAAGGATCAGGGAGAGTTAACGCAGGTGCAATGGCACGGAACACAGAAAAGTGCTGCAAGAAGGCAGTGTGTGATGCGGGGTCAGCAGAGGGAGGGTTTGCTTCAAAGGGGCACCTGGAAAGGGTGAGCAGAAGAAGGATGTTAAGAATAATAGCCGGCTCGTGGAATGCCTTCCCCTGTGGCAGCTGCTATGCTGGTTACTTCACCTAGATTTTCTCACTTTCTATTCTCATTGGGGCAGTGTTTACTCAGACCTAAACCATAGGAAAGGAAACCAAGGTTCAGAAAAATGAAATAACCTGCCTGGTATCACAGAACAAGTGCTTAGGTAGCCAGGATAGGAATCTGTCTGACTTTGAACCTGTGTTCTTACCTATGTGCCACTCAAAGATTTCCGCAGAGGGAGAAGAAGGGGTGCGTATTCCAGAATGAGAGAGCGGCATGAGCAAATGAATGGAGGTGAAAAGTACCAGGTACACTTGAAAAATGAGTTCAGATTGCCTGGGGTGTCGACACCATGGAGGAGTTAATGGAATTGGAAAGGTGTATTGATCGGGAGACTAAGGCCTTGAATGACAGCGAAGGAGATAGTACACACTCAGATCAGCAGTGGGGTGCTGTTGAAGATTTCTGAACTAAGGAGTAATATCATTGGAACTGCCCATTTTTAGGAAGCTTAACTAGGTCAGCAGTGTCTAGGATGGGAGGAGACAGGATGTGGCAGGACCCATGAGAAGGCTCTATGGTGTCCCGGGCATTGGGAATCCAAACAAAAGCTATAAAGAAAGTGGGAGAAGGGGAGAGGGTATGAGGGTGAGAGATTGGGTGATAGAAATGTTAGTATTTGGCATCATACTGAGCATGGGAGGCAGGAAAGGTCATCTCCCGTGGGTTTGCTTTCCTAGCTGATATCCTTGCTCCCCAAGTTCCTGACACCTGGCTCACGGTCTTCCTCTCCTGCTCAGCTCTTGCCTTCATCCAGTTTACTTTTGCTTCCAGGGTGATAATCCAGACCTTGTATTGTCTTGCTCAGCCAGCACATCCTCACAGACACTACTTTGTCTAGGAATGACAGTGGTCACTCTCTGCAATCTTGTTTTTCAAAATGACACTTTTAACCGAGATTCTCTTCCTTTGCACCTCTCCCCTTCCCTCCCTGTGGGCTCCGTCCTCACTTGCTCAACAGCTTGCTTCATCTGTTTTGCCACATCCTCTTATGTGGATTCCAGAGTGTTCTGTTCTCAGCTCTTTCTCCTTCTCTCCAGGTGGGGAATAAATAGTAGAGGAAAGGAGTGAAAACCACTTCCGGTTCCCAGGCGAGAGCTGAAAGTGCTAAAAGTGGACACTCGGAGAAGTGAATGGATTGGGGATATTTCAGGGGACAGAGCCAATGGCGCAAGATAATGATTCTGTGTGTAGCAGGGGAAGGCGGCGAGGCTCAGAGGAATCAAGGGTGACTCCTAGGTGCTGGCGTGAGCTTTGGTTGTGGTGCCGTTTGTTGAGATACGTAAGTGCAGGTGGAAAAGGAAAAGTGGGGTTGGAATGGAAACGGGGAGATGGAACTGAAAGTTTCGCTGTAGACATCTTAGGTGTGAGATGTCTACTAGACACCCACGTGGATCTTGGAAGACATAAACTCAGGAGCCATCAACATGTAGGCGACATTTAGAGCTAAGGAAATAGGTGAGAATAACCAGGTGGGTTTAGCTAGAGAGAAAAGGGAGAAACTGAGCCCCGGGGAATTCTTATGTGGGAAGAGCAAGAGCGAGCAAAGGATACTGACCAGGAGCAGCCGGTGAGATGGGAGGAGAGCATGGGGTTCAGAAAGCAAGCAAGGACAGCAGATCTCATGGGAAGAAGGGAGGGCACTACTGTGTTGATTTATATTCCTGAGAGGCAGAGCGTGATAGGGTAGAGATAAAGGGGACTGGAGGTTGTGACCTTAGCAGGAGTGGTTTTGCAATCAGAGGGGCTGAGAGGAAGAACAAGGTGGGGAAGTAGTGAGAGCAAAGGGAGGAAATCGGGACCATTGTTGGAGTGGCTCTGTGGTATCCCAGTCATTGAGAACCCGAACAAAAGCTAGAAAGCTAGAATTGGCGTGTGCTTGAATATTGAAGGATGCTATAATGGAGAGGGAGCAGCTGACAACGCAGCAGAGAGAGGCAGGAATGGTAGGTGCACGCTCTGTAAATGAATGAGGCAGTGGGACCTAGTGCACAGGTGGAGGGGTCTGCAGGGACAGCCGATCCTTTGTAATGAGGGGAAAGTGGAGTACAGGGGACACATGGTATAGAAACTTGCAGACGCTGTCTCCGATTGTTTCTGCTCTCTTGGGCATAGTGAAGTGAAGTTGGCAGCTGAGATCAAGGTGTGGAGGGTGGATTTGAGCCGGGGTGTGGTAATCCACACAGAATGGGAGAGCAAACTGCCCAGGAAGCGCTGAAGACTGGCAGGCAGGGCTCTGCTTCTCCTTGGCCCTCTCGGCTGTGTCTACACCCCTTCTCTTTCTTTCAATCCCAGTTCCCCCCCCACTTCCTCGCTGTAGTCACCTCAGGGCCCCAAGAGGCCCCATCACTCCCTGGAGATTTTTGCACCTGGCTCAGACTTCCTTTCTAACACTTCTTCTGTTCCCGCCATCTGCAACTTTGGCCTGCCATTTCTGTGACAGTTCTGTGACAGTCACTCTCTGTACTCTTATTCTCAAAATGATGTTTTTAGCCAAGATTCTCTTCTTTCACTCCTCAAGGCTACCCCAGGCCTTGAGGTACTTGGGACGGGCATGAGAAGGAGAGCTGGCTTCATGGAGAGCACAGGTGAATGGAGTGTTGGGAGAACCTGTTGAGGCTAAGGGACTTTGCTGGTGGCAGTTGGGAAGCAGTGGATGGGGTCAGGGGCCAGGACATGAGAGAGCCATCCTATCAGATTAGACTCATGGGGCGTTTTGGGAGTGAGAGTCTGGGAGGTGAAGGATGGCCTGGAGGCTCAGCTGTCACTCAAAGAGCCGAGATCCAAACCCTGTTCTGCCAGTCTCCAAGGCTGCCACCTCTGACCCTTCTAACCTCACTCCTTTGTGTCCTTCAAATCCACTCAGTCCTCTCAGTTCCTTCCACAGTCACTCACAAATCCATTTCCTTTTCTCCATCCCATCATTCTCTCCCACCATGGCAGTAGCTTCCCAAATGACTCACTCTCCCGTTAATGTGCCTTCCACACTGTAATTAGCGTCATTGTAATAAAACATGGATTCTGATCTTACATTGACTCCACTTTAAAAAAAAATACTTGCTGGCCCCCTGTCATTAACAGAATAAAATCCAAACTCCTGTCTTCACAGCAGGTGCACTCAGCAAGTGTTCAGGAATCTTCATGGCCTGGTCCTAGGCTGCGTTTCCAGCTATGTGGCCTGCATTTCTCTCCTTCATATCTCAGGCCACGCAGGGGGTTTCATCCTGCAGGTTCCCTCTTCCTTGAAGCCTTCCCTGGCCCCCAAGGCACAGCCCTTCGTCTCCCTTAGTTCCAGGAGCTCCCATTGCCTGCCTCACATTGGGCTGTAACAGTTGTTTTCTGTCTCTCTCCCTCATGAGCTCTTTAAAAGCGGGTACTGCATCTCACTCATCTTGGAAGATCTAGCTTCTGTTCCTTTCTGGTTCGATTCTTGTGAAGGCAAAGGAGCCGCCCTTCACCAGATGCCTCTGCTAGGTGCCAAGAGAGGCATGTAATTAGGAGACACCATAGCAGTCGAGAGAAAAGCCTTTGATATGAGGTAATCCAGGCCCAGGCCCTGCTCTTCCATTTTCTAGTTACGGAACTTGGGGTCAGGTTAATTAGCCTCTCTGACCATCATTTTCCCCATCTGTAAAATGGTAATGTAAAAAACACCTCCCTAATAGAGCTACCTAGGAGATTAAAAGAGAAAATTATTGCCTAGAAAGGGCTTGGTGCAGTCCTGGGGCACCTGTTAAACACACAGTAAGTGGCAGCTGAATCTCTCCTTTATCGGTGATGTTGGAGGACTTTAGGAGAGGAATGAAGAGGAAAGGAGATTTGAAGGTTGAGAACCCATATGATACAGAGAAGAGGGTGCAACTGATGGAGATGGAAAGGGGACTGGCGAGGAGAGGCATTGTAGAAGGCAGAAGGTAACTGATTGAGCTGTGCTGAGTTTAAGGGGATAATTACACATATCACGGGGATGCCAGTGGGATATTGTAGGGTGTTGCTGGGATTCCGATGGAGTGCTGATAGGATATTGGGGGTGCTGATGGCATATCAGGGGTGCCAATAGGATAGATATCCTATGGAGGTTAGGAAAGATGTTGGGAATTCAAGCCTAGACCTCCGGAGAGAGATTTAAGGTAATACTATAGACTGAGAATTCTGTGGATAGAGATTAGAATTAAAATCCTGGGGAAATGTGAATGCTTGGGGAAGGAACATAGCTAGCGGATGAAGAGGAAAGCAAGATGACGTCCTCTGGGACATGTGTCCGCCCCGGAGCAGATGAGGATGAAGATAACGCCAGTGAAGAAGAGGGCAGAGATCTTTAAAATCCCATTTTCTCCCATTAGTTTCAAAATCAGCCTACAATGTTCATCTGAGGTCAGGACTTTGAATAGAGAGTCACAGTGTTGAATACTTTGTCTCTCTGAAGGGAGAGTGTCTGCATTCTGTGCCTTCCAGAGCCTTCTAAATGACTAATTCTAGAGCCAAGACTGGAGCATGCAGTGCCCATGTGACTCACCTCATCACCTCTGGGTGTCAAGGCAGCATTTGACTTCACGGAAGCAGCTGGAGGTTTTCATCTGGTCCATTTGCAGGGTCTGGAGTGAGAGACACTTCAGAGCTGTTATCCAGCTGACAGAATAGGGAAAATTCTCCCCAAGGAGAAGCATACCAGAGCAGAAAGTGGTTTGCTTTATGTGACCACCAGACATTTATCTCAAAACATGCTACTTGGTTGGGCACAGTGGCTCACACTTATAATCCCAGCACTTTGGGAGGCTGAGATGGGTGGATCACCTGAGGTCAGGAGTTTGAGACCAGCCTGGATAACATGGAGAAACCCCATCTCTACTAAAAATAAAAAAATTTAGCTGGGCATGGTGGTGGGTGCCTGTAATCCCAGATACATGGGAGAGTGAGTCACAAGAATGGCTTGAACCTGGGAGGTAGAGGGAGGTTGCAGTGAGCTGAGATCGTGCCATTACTCCAGCCTTGGGGACAGAGGGAGACTCTGTCTAAAAAAAAAAAAAAAAAAAAAAGCCACTTAAAGGAATAGACTGACCCTCTGGTGAAGAGGACTCATGCTCATTCACTTTTTTAACAGATATTGAGCACCTATTATGTACCAGGCACTGCTCTGGGCACTGGAGATACAGCAGTGAATGAAGTGGACAAAAATGCCTGCCCTCATAGAGCTTATGTTGTAGGGTGGGCAGATCAAGGAAACTAAATAAATAAATAAGTAATATGTCGACGCTAATTAGTCTATGGAGAAAAGTTGGGCAGGAAAGGGCTAAGGCATGTTGAGAAGTTAATGACTGCAATTTTAAATTGTTGGGGGGTCAAGAAGGGAATCACTGAGAAAGTAACCCTTGAGTAGCCACCTGAAGAAAAGGAGGGAGGGAAGGGTCCCTGAGGGTATCTAGGGGCCAGCTTCCAGGCAGAGGGAAGGTAGTCTGACATCCAGCACGGAGGTCATTGGGGGAGCAGAGTCATAGCCATGAGGTCAGAGGCACAGAAGAGCAGCTACAGTCACTGGGGCCTCACGGGCTGGGCCCCCACTGGGAAGGGAAGCCACGGGAGGGTTTGGTAGGAGAACAATGTGGACAGAGCACTCGCTGGCCACTGGGCCCTGGGAGGACTCTCCCCTGCATCCATTCACCCCAATTATGAGCTCTAATATTTGAGACATAGGTGATGGCCACAAAAATGAGGTGGAAACACTTTTGAGTGGATTCCTTCTCTTTTCAACATTTGCTGCATCTGAGAATAATTTATTTTGTGTATTTTTGTGTATTTATATATTTATAAATGTATTTGTGATTTATATATTGTGTATTTATATATTTATTTGTGTATTTTACTTATTATTTGGACTCTTTGTCTTCACTGCTTTTGACAAATACCTTGTGTGGGTGTGTGTGCGCGTGCGCACACCCATGCACATAAGCACACACTTCTATTCATGTGTGTTAACTCAGAACTGACTTAAACTGTTTATTTTGGAGAAATGACTTTTCATAGAAATGTCTGACCTCTCTGAGTCTCAGTTTTTTCATCAGCATATTGAAGATAAGAATAGCATGCAGGCAAAGGACCTATCACAGCGGCCAGCACACAGTAGGCACTCAGGAAATGTCTTTCCCTATCCGTCCTTTACTGAAATTCTTGCAATTTAAATAACCATTTGTTCCTTTTCACCTTTAGGCATGACTTTGTGCTTTTAGATAATTATGCCAATGAACACGACGTTGAGTTTGGATGACTTCAGCTGACCTAACTTTACTCTTATTTTGACTGTTAAATGAATTTATTAATGTGTCTAAGACAAAATCTGTTCTCTTATGTAAATGAAGGTGAGGGGATTTTACATACTGCACCAAGAAGAAGCGTATTCACTAAAACAATAAAACCGGATAAAAGCCAAACAGTCTTGCTAATAAAAAATCATGTATTTATTTAGGGTGTACACTGATACACTTTACATTTTTCTCCGTCAGGATAGAATAACCTAACTATAAAGAGGCATACTGATATTTTTCACAAAAGCTGTAGGTGTTAAAAAATGTTAATGGCAGAATACTTATGTATAAATACTGAATTACTAAAAGCAGGAGCAATTAAGTGTTTAATGTCAACAGAAGCATGTTAGCTAATGAGCTGTTTTCAGAGGTTAATAATGTGATTAATCACCGATTGATAAAAACTATGGAGAAGAAGCTCTTCTGTACTAACAGTATTCTGCACCTAAGGGCGGCCAGATGAGAGGTAGGTCTTGGCCAATGAGGAACCAGTTCATGTCAGGGCTTGGTTGAAATCAGAGAGGAAGGCTGGCTGGCTGGCTCCTCAGGCAGGTCTCACCACGTGGCACTTACTGGTGGGGTGTACATATTCCAGGGTCTGGGCCTCAGTTTTGCGTAGTAGCTCCCAGAGTGCAGCAGGATCAGGACCAACTCATGCTAACCAGGCTTACAAGAGTTTGATGTATAAGCCAGATTACCAATATATTAATTTAAACTACAGACTAAACTTACCACGGAGAAGGGACTTCTCCTTTTAAGTTGCCAATACTTTCTTGTCTCAAGTAAATCATATGATGATTTTTGGCAAATGTATACACTCATGTAACCCAAGTTTCTATCACAATACAGAGTATGACCATCACCCTGTTGCCCTTTCCAGTTAATTCATTGAAGCCCCCCTCGCCCCAAGGCACTTACTGTTTTAATAGCACAGTCTTCCTGCTGCCAATCACTTTGGTTGCTCTTATTTACTCTGGTTCTAAGAACAGCCTGAGCCTTTTGACTAGACTGAGGCATTTCCAAGCTCCCAGCCAGCTATTCTGGGGGAGAGCCATCTGCTCATGTTACATTTCACTTGTTGCTCACTCTCAGGGTGACTACGCTGTAATATTGAGAGTCATTTCTCTGTGGCTTTTGCCTCTGACTCCAACACCTATTTCTAATCTGTACGTTTCTTCACTTTTCTTTTGACTTGTGGACATCACCCGTGAGGAAAATTGTTACTGATCCATCTTTTTCTCTTCTTCTCAATAGTAGTGAACGCTAGCATTTATTGAGCAACTACTAGAGACCATGCTACAAAGTGACAGCCCAAAGTGACAAAAACACTACAAAGTGACAGCCCATTTTACAGATGAGGAAACCAAGACTCAGGGAGCTTGAGTCACTTGCCCAAGGTCACACAGCTGCAGAGGTGGAGTCTTTCTGACCCCAAACCCTCTTAACCCTACATTCTTCTGTCCATGACTTGGGACTGGGGTGGAGGGTTATGTCTGGGTTGCTTTCCTCTTCCCAGTGCTGCTTGTCATGTCCCTCCTGCTGGCTTTTTCCCACAGCCGTGGTAAAGAACCCACCCAATAACCTGTGGATCATCGCTGCAGTGCTGGCTCCCATCGCTGTGGTCACGGTCATCATCATCATCATCACTGCCGTGCTCTGCAGGAAGAACAAGAATGACTTCAAGCCCGACACCATGATAAACCTGCCGCAGAGAGCAAAGGTATGGGGAAGCGGTGGAGAGAGGGGCAGGAGCACAGAACTGCAGGAGCTTGGCCTGCCTTTCCCTCTTGCCTTTTGAGGCCATTGCAAGAGCCTGCAGAAACATCAGGATGGGTCCTCATTTTGAAGGAGACTCTTCTTTTAGTCTCAGGACCTGATGGCTCATGCTTGTCTGATGCCCACCCTGCTGTCAGTGCTTCCAAGCGCTTTATATATAGCAACTCTCTAATTCTTACAGCTGCCCTGGGAGGAAGGACTATTATTTTACAGATGAGGAAACCGAGGCATAGAAAACTACAAGCTAAGGAGACCTGAAAGGGATTTGGGAGATAATTTAATCAGACTCCCTCCTTTTGCCCATAAAAAGTAACTTTTTCTAGGTGGTATGGTTGGTAGGTAGCAGAACTGGTGGTAGATTCAGGTTCTGAATATTGTGGTCCCCAAATTTATATGTTGAAATTCTGATACCTAATGTGATGGTATTAGGAGATAGGGCTTTTGGGAGGTGATCAGGTCATCAGGGTGAAACCACCAGGAATGAGGTTAATGCCCTTATAAAAGAGGCCCTGGAGGACTCTCTTACCTTTTTTACCATGTGAAGACACGACAAGACATTGGCAGCCTGCAGCCCAGAAGAGTCCTCACCAGAACCTGACCATCCTGGCACCTTGATTTTGGACTTCCCAGCCTGCAGAATTGGGAGAAATAAACTTCTCTCGTTTATAGACCACCCGGTCTGTGCTATTTTATTACAACAGCCCGAACTGACTTAGACAAAGTCTCTTGGCTCCTAATGCAAGGCTCTCTGAGGCACATGCTTGGTTAGAGTGACATCTTCAGAGGTCGCCATGATGGAAAAGCTTCAGGGCTTTAGCTGGGTGGCCAGGAAACCCCTTTTCAGTGGCTCCGCTGAAGCCTGTTCTGGAGCCCCATCCTCCCCCTGTGGCCTCCACATCTCTGCACCACCAGTGACTGGGAGTGAAATGGACTAGGACATGCTGCAGCCTGATTTTCCAGTCACGTTGCTCCCTTCATGATAGTCCCTGAAGGAAATATGCTGTCACACCCGATGTTTAAATAATGCATTACAATTTGCTGGGCTCCTTGAGGTCTATCACCTCATTTGTTCATCGCAGCAGCCTTATGAGGTAGGTCATAGCCAGGGAAGGTTTTATTATCCTCATTTTACTGCCAAAAAGGGAAAGAGAGACTTCAGGACTTGTCCAAAGTCATGCTAGCAGCAGAGGAGTGACTGAGGCTCACAGCCAAGCCTGGGGGCGTTTTCTCCATTGTGCACCTACCTGAACCCTGAGATTTGACAGGTAGAATACTCTTCCAGCTCTGAAGATCTGAGCTTTGTTTACCTGTGCAGGAATGAAACAGCGAGCTACCCCTCATATTCCAGAGCCATTGGAATACATGTTGGCCGTGGAGATTGTCCTTGTGGAGGTCACGCATGCCTTAGGTCTTACTTGATGATCACACCTTGCTTCATCAAAAGAAATCAAAGGATTTTTATTGTTTGTTAAACCCATACTCCTGTGGCGACGGTGCAGCTTGATTAGATACTCTGTCTACTGAAGAGCCAAACCCCAAAGCATGTTGTTCTGTTTCAGTTGACACAAAGGCACCTGCTTCCCAGACACAGCAGGATGTTGGTAAGAAGTGTACATTGGGAGTTGCTCAAGCAGTGAAAGATGAAACTCTTCCAAGAGTGGGTATTTCTTCTCCATCTCAGTTTAGTTACAGTGTGAGCCTTATAGATGTAATGGTAATAACCAGAATCTAATTGTACCTGTATCCAGGAATATAAAATATGCCATACTGAGGTTGTAAGGGGGCATATTTGTATTACAGATTAAACAAAAGTTGTACTAACCTGTCAAAATGAGTTGGGCAACACACGATTTTTGCCTAGCTTATGGCTTGCTGTCTGAAGCTAGGACAGATTAGCATTTGTGGTTTTCCATAGCTCCTTCTGCGTCCTACTCTGCGCATTGGGCTTCGTGAGATACCTGGCTGACATTGAACATCAAGCAAATTTATGTTCCATGAGATGATTAAATTCACTTGTGTGCAGTGGAGCCCCCTCCATGAGGCTGGGCTGCATACTTTGATTCCTAACGCCCTTTTATCATGGGAAGCCAGCAGGGTGGAACTGTCTCCTGCTTACTTCAGTTCTTCTGTCATTCCAACCCAGGGACACTGCAGTGGTGAAGAGAGGAGAGAGCTGCCCGCATCACTTCTCACCACCTTGTGTGTGTGAACAGAATTCAATTAATGTCAAGGGACGAGGCAGAACAAAAAAGTTAGCCTTCAGTGCTGATTCATAGACTAGGAGGATGGTCCCAGGGACATTGCTGCATCTTTAGAATGCAGGCTACAATGCTAGAGGGCAGCCCCACAGATCCTTCCCCAGACTCAGTAGTAAACTTCACATGCTAAACAGAGGAGGTGAGTGTGGCTTTCCTGGGAGCTGAGTCCAGGGTGTGGAACCCTCACCCCTCTACGGAGACACGGTACCATGGACTGCCCCATTCCCATTATTGTCAGGTGGGCTTCTGCAGGTAGAATGATGAAAAATGATAAATGCCAGAGGGCCAGCATCATGACTTTTGTCACCTCCTTTCTTTCTAGTTCACTTCTCTTTACTCTGTCATTGGATGTATAGCCATTTTTCTAGTTTTTCCCCTTTATAGAACTGAAGAGATCATGGCTCCCTGGAAGAGGCCACCTTAGGAGAGGGTAGTTAGGAACATATCCAGATGCAGGATGGATCTTGGAGGGCCTGTAATCTTTTGCATGAACATCTGCTTGGGACAGGCCAGTCACCCCCTAAGAACAGCCAGTTGTTTCCTCTTTGTCACTACTATCTGTAGGACATCAGGAAACTTATTTAACTCCAGGCCTCAATTTTTCCATCTGTAAAACGGAGATATAACAAATAATTGCATATAGATTGTTGTGAGGATTTAGTTAATATATATACATTGCTTTGAGGTATGTCTGGTACATAATATGTAGTACATATAAGTTGGCTTTTATTGCTACCCATGTTTTTTTTCTTAAAATGTCTTGGCAGTGTATCCGCCATTGAAATTATTGGATATTATTTTGATTTGATAATTTTATAAAACTGAAGTAACTATAGATACTTTGTGATGTTATTGGGGTTAGACTCACTAATGTGTCTAATGGGCAATTCATTAATCTCAGGTAACTTTCCGGTTGAAAGTTGAAAGACTGCTACCCTGAGAGTCAGAAGAGTGAGGGAGTAGTAGTCTTAAGTCCTGAAACACTTAGCTGTGTGATCTTGGGCAAGTCACTGAACCTGTCTGAGCTTTTGTTTTCTTATCTGTGAAATGAAGACTGTGATGTTTGCCTTGCCTACCTCACAGGTTTGTTGGAGGATGAGATGAGATATCAGTGTTTTGCATGCTGTAAGTACCGATCACACTCAGGGATTGTTGTGATTAATAATACAGGTGTAATTAACTAACAATGGCCACCTTTTAAGCTTGGAATTTCTTAATGTCTCTCTTTGTGTACATCCATCATTGACCAAGTCACCTGAAGTATCCAGTGGATAATTTTAACCCAGTGTGAAAGGTAAGGGGCCAAATCCATAGGGAGGAGGTAGAAAGGATGGGACCAGAGCCAGCTCTCCCTATCATTAGGTTCTTGGGAAGTCTTAGCTGCTATTGCAGCCTTCCACTTCCTCACAGACAGGCCAGGAGTGTTGCACAGGAACCAGGCCATTTACGACAGGAGATGCTAACCAAGACAGGAAGCTGAAGAAGGAAAGGAAGGACTGTGGGAAGACTCATGAGATAGTGGTTAGATGTTCCAGTTCTGGGTCACATAGTCCTAGGCTCAAATGCTGACTCTGTCACAGCTCTAAACTTCAGCTGCTTCATCTGTAAACTGGGGACTCATGATAATACCTACCTTCTTGAACTATAGTGAAGATGCAATGACATAAGTTATGTATTGTGTTTAGGACTGTGTCATTAATATCAAATGAGGCCAAAACTGAGTCTCTTGAGGGTGAGGAACCAGTTATTTAACTGTATATGTTCAGCACCAAGGACAGTTCCTATCATTGGAACAAAACCGAATAGGATAATGGGGGTGTGAGGGCGTGGTACAAAAGGGGCCAACAGGACAGAGACTGGGCAGGCAGGTTCACCTGGCATGTGAAGGGCCTTGACTGCCTCGCCAAAGCATTTGGGGAGGCATTCGAGGCCCTTCATATTTTAAACGAGGGAGTGACACAACCACATGTGTTTTAAGGGAGATAATTTTGGAAGCTCATCAAGGGTGGGCCTGGAAAGGAGCTAAATTGGAAGCAACAAGACTGAGGCAGAAGATAGTGAAACAGTGGACCTAGGGAGGAAAAGTCACCTTCTAGAAACATTTCAGAAGTTGAATCCAATTGGTGACCAATTGGTTGTGGAAGGAGCAGGAAATTCAGTATTTGAGGGGCATCCCAAGTCATCTGAAGGCTCTGTTCTGTTTCTTGTAGACCAAGGACAGGGAAGGAGAAGAACAGAGACCACCTTCCCTCAGCAAGCATTATTTCAGAAACTCAGTCTCAGGTCCTGGCCTCAGAATGTCACTGATCACATAGGTCAGAGTGTATGTCTCAGAGAAGAGAAGTGGGTGATCGCACTTCCTGGAGTGAGTTTCTCCAGGAACTGTCCATGGCAAAGCTGTAGGCAGCCTCAAATAAAGAAGGCTTGTTGGACTTGGCAATAAAACTCTGTCCTGTTCTGAGACACAGTGGTGAGATTTGACAGGTTGGGCCACAGCTCTAGACTGGATTGTTAAATCTGGCTGGAGCCATCCTGTTGTATTTTTTACCTAAATTAGCTGCTGAAGGAGGGGCTTCTGATCACATCAAGTTCTGATATACTCTAAGTGACAGAGGTTGAATTTCATCTGCAGATTCTCTTGAAGAAAATCACTGATGTCCATTTTACCTGGACTGTGATTTATCAGGAAAGCAAACAGTAATAACTAATATTGATTGAGCACTTCCTATCGGCTAGACACTTACCTAAATGCCGAAGGAGAATTTCTTATTTAATCCTTACAGCATCCTCTTAAGAGTGGTTACATTTTGTTCTCACAAACATACAAATTTTATCCTGTTTATACTATTATTATCTCCAATTAACCTAAAAGCAATGACCACGTTTTAAGCTTGATGAAGAAACTGATGTGTGGAGAGTTTCAGTAACTTACCCAAGGTCATACAGCTAATGAATGGTGGGGGTCTGGATTTGAACCCAGGCAATCTGCCTTTGAAACTGCCACTTTTACGCACCCCACTGTCCTGCCTCAAATCTGCATTATACTGCTTTGCAGTATAAAGCAGAATAGAGACATATTTTCAGGATTGTTTAAATATGCCTCTTGATTTTTATTACCACACTACTCAATGTCTGTTGGATTTTGCTCAGAGCTGCCTTATGCACTTGGGATTTCAGACACTGTGCAATAAAATCTTGCCAGTTTCTCAGGAATGAATTATAGGAGAGCCAACCTACTTAAGGGAGAAGTCTAGATTAAAGAGTGACTCCATAAATTCCATTTCATTATTAATGATTGTACTGCTTCATGAGATAACACACTTCCCTCTGTGTTCAGATCTGTGATCCACTTTCATACTCAAGGGTGGTAGAGGTAACAGTTAAGATTATCTTTATTTCTCAGATGACAAAATTGAGGTTCAGAGTTCAAGTGACTTGGCAAAGTCACACATGTGCTATTATACATAAAGCTATATGAGAATGGAGTGAAGGGGTAACCAAATATTCCTAGGGAGGAGATGATCCACAGGATCTATTTAACATATTAATTGTTTCTCATTTTCAGCATCCATTGACTTAAAATTCATGGTCTAAAATCTCTGAAAGAGGTTTGTTCCTACACACCTGTTTACATGTTGTTTACACTCTTCATTTTTCTGAGCAAGTCTTATCTGTAGAGATTCTGTAGCTGGATGGAATTAACACAGATTCTGCTTTTGAAGAGACAGAAATGACGATGGGGATTTAAGTTAACTCTTGTTTATTAATCAGAAAGCTAAGTTTGGTCCCATCACTTGTGCTTTGCTGCTGGTCATCTCTTAAAGCCTTGGCAAGAGTCACACTTGACTAGAAATGTCACTGCAAATCTGTTTCCTTTTTGCAGCCTGTGCAAGGCTTTGATTATGCCAAGCAACATCTGGGACAGCAAGGGGCAGATGAGGAGGTCATCCCTGTGACTCAGGAAACAGTGGTCCTCCCACTGCCCATTAGAGATGCTCCTCAGGAAAGAGACGTTGCTCAGGACGGAAGCACCATCAAGACCGCCAAGTCCACTGAAACCAGGAAGAGGTAGGCACGGGGCCAACTTCCGCCTCTTTGTGTCAGCAAGAGAAATAATTGATCATGAGAACAGCTGATTATGATCAGAACAGCCGATACCCTCAAGTTAATTCCACTGTTCTCTTTAAAAATTCCCCTTCATGCTCATTTTGAATATTTGAAAAGAGACTGAAGGAGATGATGAGAATCACAATACCTGCTTAGCCTGGGCCACCCTTTGTAAGGTTTTATGTCACTGATCACCACAACAGCAGAGATTTAGTTCTTATATTTACTATAGCACATTTAGCACTGATGTCACACTTATTTTTAAACTTATATTAAAAGCGGTGCCTTTGATTCAGTATAGTTGTATTTTATCTGTCCATGTCTCAATAGGGTTTCTGATTTCAGTCAAAGCCATATATTTAGTTTACACAATAAGCAGAGCACTTTGACAGACATCCCTTTAGGAGTACAAAAATGTGTAGGATTGATTTGTGACCCCAGGAGTCTCATGATGGAGGAGGCAGAGAGATAAATAAGTGGAATACCAAGCATGAAGTGTCAGTGCCGGCACTGGAGACTGCAGGGCTGTAGTAAAGACTGGAGGAGGAACTTAATTCTGACCAGGGAAAACCCCATGGAGAAGGTTATGCTTTAGCTGAGCCTTGAAAGGTGGGTGGGATCTGAATAGGTGGGAAGATATAAGGGCATCTAGCCTAAAAAGAGTGTGGAGAGAAGAGGGACAGGCATGTTCTCTAACGGCGAGTGTCCCCAGAGTTTAGAGTTCATAGTGGCTGGGTGTAGTGAAGGATGAAACCAGAAGATAGATTTCAATTTTGGAAAGTCTTGACTGCCAGGCCAAGGCATCTGACCTTTATTATCTAAGCAATGGGGAGCCACTGAAAGATCTTTAGATCTTTAGGAAGACAGTGGTGTTAGCCTGTACGTTAGAAGGATACATTGATGGCAATGTGGTTGAGAGATGGGAGAGTTTAGGTTAGAGGCCAAGGGACTCATTTTAAGGACTTTGCAATAGCCTTATAAAGAGGTAATGAACCCTAAGGCAGGCCCTGTTGGCTGGCTAAACCAACATGCATTGCCAACCCCCTTCTTTCATGTTGCCTAAGACCACTATGAAGACTGAAAAAGCTACATCATCCATGTCTCCTTCCTTTTTCTCCTTCCCTTTATCTAACATGTTTATTGGTCATTTGCTATTTATCAGGCACTGGGGATATTGCTGTGAACAAGACAAAGTTACTGTTCTCGGGCAGCTTACAATCTGGTAAGGAGAGATAGACAATAAACAAACAGAGAAACAGCTAAAATTGATCTGTTTCTAGATCAGGTGATGATACGTACAAAGAAGAAAACCAAAGCACAGTCTGGGGAAATGGAGAAGGAGACATAGTGCTGTTTTAGCTAGGAAGCCAGGGAAGACTAGTTTGATAAAGTGACATTTGAGAAAGACCTGATTGAAATGAGATATAAATCACGAGGTTATCTGCAGGAAGAATGCACCAAGCAGATGGAACAGTATGTGCATCACACAGAGGAGGGAACTTCTTGATGTGCTTAAAGAAAAGCAGGATCAAGGGGTTTGGCATGAACTAGGGAGGAAGTAGTGGCGGATGCATCCGGCAAGTTGCCAGAGGTCAATTATGTCAGGCTTTACAGACCAAAGTCAAGACTTGGGATTTTATTGTGAATAAAGATCAGATGTAATTGTGGGGTTTTGAGAAAAGCAATGACATTATGTGGCTTGCAGTTTTAAAGGCTCACTTTGGGCTGGGTGCATGGCTCAGAGCTGTAATCCCAGCACTTTGAGAGGCCAAGGCAGGAGGATCACTTAAAGCCAGGAGTTCAAGACCAGCCTGGGCAACCTGGGTAATGTGAGTGGAGATGTTGAGAACTCAGTTAACCTTGAGTCTGGAGTTTAGAGGAGAGGTCCAGGATGGAAACATAAATGTAGGAGTTGTCAGTGTGTAGTTACTCTATGAGACTGGGAGGAATCACCTGGGAGAGTACAGATAGAGAAAAGAAGAGATCCAAGCACTGAACCCTGGAACACTGTCATGATTAGAGGTCCAGAAGCTGGGAAAGAATCAACAAAGAAAAAGGAAGAGTGTCAGGAAGAAGGGCATGAGGAGAACAAAGAGAGAGATCCAAGAAGGCAAGAGAAGGAAGTAATTTGAGAAGGAAGGAGGGATCATCTGTATCAAATACCCACATTTTGTACTGGAATCAAGCAACAAGACTGCATGTTTTCTTCCAAGAACTCTTGGTTCCTCAGAAAGAGGTATAGAAAAACAGAGTTGGATTTCAGCTTGTGTAGGAAAGGTTAGGGCATGTGGATTAGTTATCTTTGCTCCATAACAAACTCCAAGGCTTAATAACTTAAAACAACAACCTTTTTTTTTTTTTTTTTTTAGCTCATGATTTTGGTGGGTCAGCACATTGGGCTGAGCTCAACTGGATGGTTCTTCTTGTCTGAGCTAGACTTGGCTGACCTTAACTGCACCTGCTTATGCATCTCCAGTCAGGTGACAGATCCGCTGGGCTAACTTGTTGATGCTAATCTTATCAGGAAAACCACAGGTAGCGGGGGCCTTTGTCCATATGATTTCTCGTTCTCAAGCTGTCTAGCCCTGGCTTTCTTACCATGTGGTTGCAGGACAGCAAGAAAATAAAAAACAAGCAAATACCCAAAGCATAAGCAAAAGCATTTCTCAAATCTTTGCTTGTGTCATGGTTGCTCCTATCCTCTTGGATAAAGGAAGTCTCATGGTCAAGTCCAGACTCAGCATGGGCGAGGACTACCCAAAGCTTGTTGACAGAGATGTACAAACAAATTAGGACCATTGCTGCAATCATGCACCCAACGTGGGAGAGCTGAAGCAGAGCAGAGCTGAAATGTACAGAGAAGGAAAAGATGATTTACCTGAATTGACTTGCAAGAAGTAGTAGTATTCTCATCATGATCTTTGGAAAATACAACAAAGGCTTATTAATAACTTATTTATCACCTATTTAGAGGATGCTGAAAAGAAATAAATAGTATTACTAAAATTAGGATATGAACATAGTACTTTTGGGAAGAATAAAAATTTTTTTCACCCATTCTAGTCGAATAATTTACATCGTGTACAGTTTTCTTTAATTTTTTTTTTGGAATAAGCATTTCTTGGATTAGCAAGGAATCTACTCTTGCTAATCACATTCAATAACCCCAAATTTTTATTAAGAAATATTAACTTATGAAACAAATACAGATGAAGAAGATAATATCTGTACTCCTGGAGGATTTTTATATTTGCTTTGTATTTTTTTTTGAGACAGAGTCTCGCTCTGTTGACCAGGCTGGAGTGCAGCGGCAGGATCTCAGCTCACCACAACCTCTGCCTCCCAGGTTCAAGCAATTCTCCTGCCTTAGCCTCCTGAAAAGCTGGGATTATAGGCATGTGCCCCCATGCCAGGCTAATTTTTGTATTTTTAGTAGAGATGGGGTTTCGCCGTGTTGCCCAGAATGGTCTCAAACTCCTGACCTTAATTGATCTGCCCACCTTGGCCTCCCAAAGTGCTAGGATTACAGGTATAAGCCACCGTGCCTGGCCAGCTTCATAATTTTAGCATAAAAATACAATTTTACTAAGGGCTGGCTATAGATCATTGCCAAAGCTGAAAGAGAAACCTACTCTCTGTGCAAGTCCAGCTGACCACGGGAGTCTTTGATCATTTGAAAAGATTTTCAAAACACCAAATTCAAGAGAAAACCCATCATGAATCTTATGTTTCTGGCTTCCCCATCTTGCCACATCATTTTCCTCATTCCTGCTAGATAAAGACTGACTCCCTCTCAGAATGGATCTGTTAGATGATCCAAGAAGTTTCTCAAGTGAAAACCAGGAGAAACCGATGGTTTGACGGTTATTAAGATATCTCAATTTTTGTGAATTTTTTTTATCACTGAAGTCTGATGGTGTAGTCACTTCCAGACAGCCAGATGGATGTTCTGGGTCCTTTTCCTCCAGTGTAGGGTCTTGGTGAGGCTATTTTGTTGGTGTGGGAGTGAGATTGTTGGGCCAGGATGGAGAATCAACCATTTGCAGCCGTTTGCAAAGGGCACTTCAGTGTAGTGATCAGCAATGATTGTTCAGCAGCTGATTAATCCTCAACCCGAAAATATTCTTTCAGGCTCCGTGTCCTCCAAATGGGGACTGTTGCATTCAGTAACCTCTAACTGCAGCCTCACAGGTGACACTTTCTTGCTTTCAAAAACACTTGTGTTACTGTCATGGGAGTACACGTGCCTGCACAAACACACATGGACAATCTCACTCCTCTGTTTCTGAACAGAAGTTTTGACTTGATGACTTCCTGTAAGTATGTCTATAAACAGAAGCAAAGAGTAAAGCAGAGTTGGGTTTTTGCTACAGAAATTTGCTCCTTGACACCTTTCCTTGGAGTGAGAGGAGCAACCAGAAAATTATGTCAGGATCAAATGAGGGAAACAGTATGAAAATGCTACAAAAACTGTTCAGGCCAGGCTCGGCGGCTCCTGCCTGTAATCCTAGCACTTTGGGAGGCTGAGGCAGATGGATCACTTGGGGTCGGAAGTTAGAGACCAGCCTGGGAAACATGGTAAAACCCCAGCTCTTCTAAAAATACGAAAAAATTAGTCAGGCATGGCGGTGGGTGCCTGTAATCCCAGCTACACTGGTGGCTGAGGCAGGAGAAGCACTCGAACCCAGGAGACGGAGGTTGCAGTGAGCCGAGATCGCCCCATTGCACTCCAGCCTGGGTGACAGATCAGGACTCTCAAAAAAATAAAAATAAATAAATAAACCATTCAGTATATCATGAATGTGAAATAGGTTATAAAAAGCCTTTCCCTTTCCTCATTTTTTTTCTGGATGTAAATTAAAGGCTTTTTGTCCCAGTGATGCCAGTCGCCAGGAGAGCCCAGAAACAATCTAGGGGCATGTGTCTTTCGCGTATGAGTGTTTGCACACCCAGCACTCAGCAATCAAATAGCTGTTGGGTAAATAAAATAATGTATATTCAATAAAATAACGTATATTCAACAACTTAGTGCCCATCCTTGTTTTCACAGACTACATTCTTTGTATTACTCATTTTATATGATGTTAAAAGATATTACGATGAAAAAGATTGTGACTGAATAAATTTGGAAATGTTGGGTTAAACAAAACCAGATGAATCTCTCTGTGACAGAACTGATCAGCCTCTGATATGCTAACGTGCATTAGGAATCTCCAAAGAAAGAATATAGTAAACATTTCCCACATTTAGGGAACTTTGGTGAGGAATGTCCCACTTGGCTTTAGTGTCCTGCGGAATGCTCTAGGCAGATACTGCCTCATCCCGTAGATATCCTGACTTTGATTATTCATAGCTTTTAGGGTGCTAAAGCCCATAGACTGAGAACTCGAAATTTCCCAGGGGAGGCAGGAGGAGAAGGAAGAAGGAGAGAGAAGGGAGGAGGAGGAAGAGGAGCATCCAGAAGGATACACAGCTTCCACTTGAGAAGCTGCCCGCCTACTGATAAAGTACATTTATTCCAGACAATTCTCTATTGTCGGGCATGTATGCCATTATTTTCTAAATTCAGATAACTGACAATAGAAGAACAAGAGGCTGCTAGATACCTGCCTCCTGCTTGTCTCCCACAGAGGGGAGGCGGTCCGTCTTTATGCTCAGCCGGACCCACGGCCGGCATGGTCTGAGGACAGAGGCAACATGAGTCTCTTTGGGGGCTCTCCAGATCCCATTCTCCCAGAGAGTTCCAGAAGATGAGAGTCCCGCCCTGAGGAAGAAAAGAAGGCTCTGTGACTCACTCTGTGTGAAGGGCTGCCTTATACCGGTCATTGTATGGGACAGCAACAGGAAGGTGTTCTGGGGTGTGGGAGAAGGGGGAGCCCTGGCTTCCAGGGCTGCTTCGCCACTTCCCAACTCTGTCCTGGACAACACACTTCACTTGCATGAGCTTCACGTTCCTCAGTGGCTCATTTAATAATAATCCATTAGCAGTTTTGAAAGCAGTCAGCAAAGTCCTTGGCACACAGTAGATGCTCCTGGTGGGGAGCTCTTGCGGGGCGTGGCGTGCTAACTTAGAGTCTCCACATACCTGTATGCCTGGCACAGTGCCTGGCACAGAGTGGGTGAATGAAAAGTATTTCCTGAATGAACAAACAGCTCAAAATGTAAATGGCTAATAGTTGCCACAGTGAGAGAGAGAGAGAGAGAGAGAGAGAGAGAGAGAGAGAGACTGACTGACAGACGGAGTGAAGCCCCAGTGGTGGGGTATAATGCAAAGAATAAGGCAGGTTGAGTTTTTGCTACAGTAATTTGCTTATTGATGCCTTTCCTTGGAGTAAGAAGAGCAGCCAAAAACTGAAAATTGAAAACTGAATGTCTTGTAGTCAAAGTCTATGTGGTAAAGAAAATAGCCAAAGAGAACCGTGTGTCATACGTGTCCTGAAAGTGCCCACGTGATTTAAACACTCTGCAACACTATCCAGAGTGCTGGGAGTTAAAAAGAGGGCATGCTACGTGGATGCCACCCTTGCCACCATTCCCTTAGTCACGGGACGGGGGGCGGTGGTTAATGAAACAGATGGGCACCCAGGGCTGTGCTCACTGAACTCTACAGGCTGAGCACTACAAAACACACTTCCGAACAGCCAGCTGCTTAACCCACGCTGTAGTATGGATGGTTTTGTGTTTTTCTTTTTCTGTATCATTTCCTCTTTGTCCATTAAACTGGAATGAAAGGCTACAGACATTAAACTGTGCGAATAAAATAACCTTGAGAGGCGGCTGCTCTAGTTGAAACTTACCATCTCCACTGTTGCTATGGTTACCTCCAGCAGGTCGCCCAGTGAGAATGGCTCTGTCATCAGCAACGAATCAGGGAAGCCCAGCTCAGGGAGACGCTCACCCCAGAATGTAATGGCACAGCAGAAAGTGACAAAGGAGGAGGCAAGGAAGAGAAATGGTGAGAAGCCTTCCCGCCAAGAACCACCCCCAGCCGCTCCCACATGTGCCCGCACACACATGCATGCAGACGCATGCTCACACTCACACAGCCAGTGGGCTCTGATCCTCAGTCATTCTTTCTCTTCTGCCCCACAAATCCAGGTGTCTGTATGTACCCCTTGGGTTGTCACCTTACCCCTTCTTTGAATTATCCTGTCTCACTTCCTCTGCCCTGTTCTTATGAAATTGTGCAGTTTCTTAGAAAAAACATTTTGCAGAATGAATTGATGTTTGCTTGGAGGTTTTTCTCATTCTCTAGTTAGAAATTCTCTAAAATTTCTAATTTCTAATCATGTGAATTGACTCAATTTCTTGCACTAGATCCACAAAGACAGCAGGTCTCTGAAATAATTGCTCATCTTGGAGATGCCTCTCATTTTCCTACCCTGACTCCCCTGATAAGTTTCATGGGTTCAGTCTATGCCACTGAGTCCAGATACTGCAACTCCACTTCTCCCAGGAAAAAAGTAATGCAAAACAGTAAAGAAACAGATCTGTCAAAAAAAAAAAAAAAAGGCTTTATGCTTCTGTCTTAATTCTCCAGGGTTGACTACTGCGTTTCTCAACCAGATCTCTCCCTCCCTGTAAGGATTGGTGTTGGGGTTTACTTATCAGTCATCTGAGCACCATGATTGTGCAGTGGCACTGTCTATAGATGGCCTCTGTCCACGTCTTTGTGCAGCTCCCTCTCCTGATCCCACCTTGGTTCTGACCCTTATCTCCATGTGGCCCTTCTGTGTGTGATGCTGGGTTACTGGGGCCAGAATTCAAGTACCCAGCACTGCTGATTTCAGACCAGGGAAAAGTCCTTTTGGATATTAAGGGGTTGTAGGTGGAGCCCTACAGAAATGCCAGGTGAAAAGCTAAACCCTCTGACACGCTGCTTAGCTGCACTTCCCTTTCAAAGGAATTTGTGTAGCTCAGGGACTCTCTCTTGAAGTTAGTGTCAGAATAATTTTTTGTTTTCAAATATGACTTTAATTTTTTTTCCCCAACTGAAAAAAGTAAGAGCAGAGGAAAAAAAAAAAAAAAGAAATGATGACACAGTGGATTTGTATTCTGTAGGGAAAATGTGCTCCCTGTTCCCATTTTCAGCTGTTATATAAAGCACTTGTTTAAACGGTTATAACCATTGGGTTGTTGAATTTTTTTTTCTTTCCCTGAATTCTGCATGCCTGTAACACAGAGGCTGTGCTTTCTACATCAGAGTTGAAGTGTGACCTGTGGAATTTTCCTGGAATATCTGCCCCACCTGGGACTACCAGAAATCCTGCCATCAGCTCAGTCAAGTGAGCACAGAGTCAGAGGTGCTCTAGATCTTGAGAAGGGGACTTGAATTCAGCAACTTTCTTCCCTTTCTTCCTAGGGTGAGGTGCTAAGAGAGATGGGTAGAGAGAGTGAGGTGACAGCTGAGACGGTGGACAGTAAGGCCGTATGGGGAAGGTTGTTTTAACTCAATACTGTGACAGCCATCCCAACCTATCCAAGATGGTGCTGCCCTCCCTCTCAGCTCCCCCTACTCCCTCCCATTCCCTCCGTCCCTCCCTCCTTCCTTTCTTTATATACTTTCTGGAAATTTACAAGGTCAAGTCAAAGACTACTCGCTCCTCCAGATGCCCCACTCACCTGCCCCAGTTCTCAGAGGACCCAGAATAACTGAATGTGTATCTTTCTCTGACCTTTTTACTATGCATACGGCAACACACACGTATCTTTGTTTTTTGTTGTATTGCTTTGTTTTGTTTTGCAAAACGGAATCAATGTGCGCGTTGTTCTGTGCTCTTTTTCTTGCTTTAAACTGTGCCATAAAGGCTCCTCTCTTTTTGAGCACACATTTGCAAAGCGATGTCTTTTCCCCTTCCCTGCAAATAACCCTTAGAAGATGAGAGAGTGGGGCTGGTTCCTGACCCCCTCACTCCCTACTTAGCTGGTGAAACTCTGGCCTGCTCTAGGTGTCCCTCCTGACCTTGCCCATTTCTATTTGTCTGCCCTCTCTGCCTGCCTCTTCCTTCTGTTTAGGTCACTTTGATTATTTAAATACAAGGCTCAGAAATAAAACAGGTGGGTGCATGAATAAAATGCAATTACTGTGCCAGGTTGAGGTTTTTGCTTGTTTGCTCTATTAAAAAGCCATCCTTCCCAGGGTTAGAGTGCTTACTTGGTTGCACTTTATTTTTGCCAAATGTAAACCAGTGAATTTGGGGGGGCTGGTTGCTTCACTATAGGTTTCTATTCAGTAAGGCTTGAAATTTACCAATAGAAACAATAGAACCAACTTGACTCATGTAAAACTCAACAGACATCAGAATTTTAGGATAGATCTTTATGAAAACCTATGCTTATTCTTTTTATCAGGGGGTTCCATTTTATCATAATCCTAGGTTAGAGTTTACCCACAAAATCAATAGTGTATTTTATTGTATTGGAAGATGAACCAAAGGAAGGAAGGAAGAAAATAACATTGAATGGAATTGTGAAGAAAACAAAAAAGGATATTTTCATCACCTTGCCAGCTTGCAAAAAGTATTGAAGACTTTTTGTGTGCACGTGGCCTCTGAGAATAAATTGTTCTGTTGATATGGAATATTCACATACCGTGGTCTTTTGGCTTAGTATCTATTTCCCATAGAGGCTTAAGTTACTAAGGTTAATAAATGTTAATGTAGCAGGCTGTTATTCTAAAACTCTTCTTGTTTTCTGTCAGGTTTGTTACATCTGTAGCTTCCAATATTTTTCTTTTTTGAAAATAAGAACTTTAAAAAGAAAAGATACTATCCTGCCAGCCACATGGCTGGCATGGGTCCTTGTAGCTCAGTGGCCCCATTAGTTTTCCATTGCTGCAATTTTAGAGTCTATTTCATGATGATGCTTATATGTAAGTGAGAAAGTCAGACATGAGAGCTAGGATTTTTAAAGCAAAAACAATTTTGTGCTTTCTCAACCAAATAGACATTTGAATTTCTGAGCCAATTTCTAAACATAGAAAATATGTTTAGCAGGAAAGAGTTGAAAGTAAGTTCAAGATTTTTGAACATAATAGATGTCTTTGCATCTCACGTCATTTGGGAGCAAATAACCTGCCTGAAACCTTTGAAGTGTGCCCCCTTCCTTTATGTCACTGACAGAATTCACCAGGAGGGCTTAGAATTTGTTAATAACCAAACTTCATCTGCCTAAAGGCAGATGAAGCAGGCAAAAAATTAGTGAGTTTAGAGGATGAATTACTATTTTCTTAGCAGGAGTTCTTCATGGGACATCTGGAATTAAAACATCAAGGAAGATTTTTCAGCGATATTAGCTCAAAAACACAGTTTTAGTTATTCTTTCTTTGCCTTCTCAGTGAAGTGAAAACTGACTTTTTATCTAATAAATAACACTAGAGAATAGTGATGCTATTGTAGATTGTCTGAGCTTTAATGAAAATTTCAGAAAAGGCATGTGTTAGAGAACGCTTTCAGCCTCAAATGGGGAGGGAGGCACTCCCCATGCCAGTTCAGACATGAAGAAATGGAATCTGTCTGTCCAGCCTGATTTACTGAAATTAAAAATAGCAGTACAAACAAGGCACAACTAGATATGAGGTAACTATTCAGTGGCATTTACTGTGATGTGATGCTACACTAAGACACCTGCAGTTTCACTGTGGTCCCTTCCTTAAGCATTCTCCCATGCTTTTTTCTTTAGGGACTAGTCATGCATTAAAAATCCTCATGAACCTGCTGTGTTCCCACCACGTTTTGATACGTTAATATTTAGTGTAATGTCTTTTAATGTGTTTGCCCATAAGGCCTTTTTTAAGGGAAGGATAACTAATTTTTTTTCTCTTTAAAAACCTAGAGGAGAGAGTAAAATATAACTATAGCTTATACAATTTCCAAGGTGTCATCTTCCTGTTCCATTAGTGCTATGCTGCCTGCCTTACCCTGTTCACAGTTTGGGCAGTGAGGGTGTCACCACCCAGAAGCAATAAAAATGTTAAGTGCTATTTCTTCACCCACTAATGGGTTGAGTGATAGCATGACTTTAACTTCCGCATGGTTACCTGTTCTGCAGGTACTAACGACATCTCCTTTTCCAAGTCAGGGAAATTGAGTCATTCATTCCTTCACTCATTTATTCAACAAATCCTTACTGAAGGCCAACTACATGTGAGACACTGTTAAAAGCAATAGACATTAGTCTTTAAAAAGACAGACAAGAATGGAGCTTCTATGCTAGGAAAAGGGGTGAGGGCAGACTGTAAATCAGTACAACAAATCAGTAGAGATACGCACTGGGAAGAAAATAGAATAGGGCAATGAGGGGGATTATTTTAGATTGTTGGTTAAGGAAAGTCATTTTCAAGCTGCAACTTGAAAAGCAAGAGAGAACTGGGCATATGGAGATCTGGGAAAAGAGCATCCTGAGCAGAGGGAACAGCTAATGCAAACTTCTGAGATGGGAACGAGCCTGATATGTTGAAGAAGGCTGCTGTGGCTGGAGCAGAGTGGATGAGGGGAAAGGGGCTAAATGAGCTCAGCAGGGGGGCCAGCACCAGACTGACAGTACCTTGGTGGGAAGACCTTGGTTTTATTCTGAAAGAGATGAAGGCTTCCGAGAGTTCTGGTCAGAGGAAGAATGCCATCTGGTTACCTTCTGGAAAGTTAGTACATCCTGGTTACTGGTGGAATATGTATTTTAGGGATAGAGGGAGAAGAGGGAAAGCCCAGAGGTGGAAGGTGGTTTAGAAGGTCTGTAAGTTATCTATTGCCATGTGACAAATGACTCCAACACCTAGCAACCTGAAATTTATTATCTACATGTATTGTCTCACATACTGTCTGTGGGTAAGGAATTTAAGACTGACTTAGCTGGGTCATTCTGGCTCAGGGTCTCATGAGGTCACAGTCAAGATTTTGGCCTGAGCTGTCACCTAAAGTCTTAACTGGTAAAAAATAATAGATGTTAGCATAGATGTGATGAAAAGGGAACGCTTATACACTGCTGGTGAGAATGTAAATTAGTACAACCCCTGTGGAAAACAGTACAGAGATTCCCTAAAGAACTAAAAGTAGATCTACCATTTGATCCAGTAATCAATCCCACTACTGGGTATCTACCCAAATGAAAAGAAGTATTCTGTGAAAAAGATACTTGCACATGAAGTTTATAGAAGCACAATTCACAGTCACAAAGATATGGAACCAACCTAAGAGCCCATCAGCCAATGAGTGGATAAAGAAAATGTAGTGTATATACACCATGGAATATACTAGTCAGCCATAAGAAGGAATGAAATAATGTCTTTTGCAGCAATTTGGATGGAGCTGGAGGACATTATTCTAAGTGAAGTAACTCGGGAATGGAAAACCAAATACCATATATTCTCACTCATAAGTGGGAGTTAAGCTAAGAGGACACAAAGATGCACAGAGTGATATAATGGACTTTGGGGACAGAGGAGAGGGTGGGAGGGAAGTAAGGGATGAAAGACTACATATTGGGTACAGTGTAGACTACTCAGGTGATGGGTGCACTAAAATCTCAGAATTTACCACTATAGAATTCATCTGTGTAACCAAAAATCACTGTACCCCAAAAAGCTATCGAAGCTTAAAAAAGAAAGAGAAAAATAATTTTTAAAAAGTCTTAACTGGAGTTTGCAGGATGGTCACTTGTGGCTGTTGACAGGGGGCTTCAGTTCTTTGCCACACGGGCCTTTCCATAGGACTGCTTCAGGGTCCTCAGAATGTGGCAGCTGGCTTTCTATCCGAGAGAGAGCAAGGTGGAAGCCATGATTTTTTTTTTCTGACCAAGCCTTGGAAGTAGCACATTGCCATTCCTCGGTTTCCTATTGGTTACACAGGTCAGTCCTATTCATCCTGGGTATGAATATAAAGAGGTGAGAATTTTTAGGAACCACCTTATTGGCTGGCTCCCATAGATGGCTTGTATAACAAGTGTGCAGGTGGCAGATAATGGTGGCCACCAGAGCTCCCAGCAAAACTACACTCTAAAAATATAGATGCATCTGGTAACACATTCAAATAGAGGGTTTCCTCTGTCATTGGCTGCTTGGTGGCCTGCTATTTGCAAATCAGCCCACAGAACTTAAAAAAAAATCCAATTATAACCCATTGTTAGACTCCGAAGTCTTTTAGCCACTTTGTAAAAATAACAATTTACTTGGCTTAATTTGACAAATCTTCTGTGATTATGATAACTGACAGAATGATACAAACTATATGTTTCTCAATAATTTAAATAACATCCCAATCTCTTGAGCAAACAGGAGGAAAGATGAATACACTGCTATTACATGCATATTTTATATAACACCTCTTTTCCTCCTAAATTGTCTACTGGTTTAGTTGTTTGAATAGGCTTAATGTATCTCTTGCCAAACCGTGCTCAATAAGCTGTCATTCTTATAGTTACTTAATGGGAATATGCTTTAAGAACAAGTAAATCAGCAAGATACCGGGGGCCCTGGAACTTCTGTCAGCTTAGTTATGGAAGCTCAAGGCTGACTGGTGTCTTTTAGTAGCAGAATTATCTGTCAGAAGGGAGGATTAATTTAACAGAGTGTAGGTAGAAATCCTTCTACTTAATTAGGGAGTTGTCTGTCGCTTTAAATTAGTTTCTGTGGTAGCATTTTCACAGCTTTATTTTATTTTAGACAAATAAAAGAAACCAAAACTCAAATCACTGGGGAAGCAACCTTCAGAAGGAAAAAAAAAATGTCAGTTACTCTGACTGTGGCTCGTTGACCAAGGAAGACTTGTTACTTTAACAGCTTGTGAAGATTGGTAGCATTGGTGACTGAGCCTAAACTGAACACCATTAGTCTGAGGATTGTTAGATTTTAAGGATAGTTAGAAGGTTTGGCCAAATTCACTTTTCTCTTTTCCAACTCAAACATAGAGAAAAAAGTTACTTTCTAATTTTTTTAACTGTATTATGTCATAGTTTTGAAAGAATGGTTCTTACTGTTTTAAATTCAAACCTCCACAGTTCTTTCCTACCCATTGATAAGGCAATGGAGGGATAAATCATATAGATCTTAAATTTAAAGGAAAACCACTAGCAGTAGTGAGCCCTTGGCACAGAAGCAGATGCTGTCATTTCTGAGGTTGTTTTGAGTAAAGTAATATCCTTAGGCTGTGAGTCTGACATAAATTCTCCTGGGATCACACAGCTCCCCTACATCATAAAATCGATGTTTATGTTGTGCTTTAGTGCCAGCGAGTGATGAAGAGGAGGGAGCGGTTCTATTTGACAGCTCCAGCAAGGTGGCCGCTGAACCCTTTGACACATCATCTGGGTCTGTGCAGCTCATTGCCATAAAACCCACAGCCCTCCCTGTGGTGCCCCCGACCTCGGACAGGAGCCAGGAGTCATCAGCAGTCCTCAATGGCGAGGTGAGTGCCTGGGGACCCAGGGCAGGAGATGGTCCAGCCAGACTTGGGAAATTCGGACGAAGGAATAACACCTGTGAATCCTGGGTGCAGAGTGCACCTAGGGCCATATAGGTCATCTTTACCTCTGCATGTACTAGGCCTCTGCAGAATGAATCAAGGCATAACTCACCCCAGAGGAGTTTGTTGGGTGATGTTTTTTGTTTTGTTTTGTTTTTCTTGAGATGGAGTCTGGCTCTGTTGCCCAGGCTGGAATAAAGTGGTGCAATCTTGGCTCACTGCAATCTCCACCTCCTGGGTTCAAGTGATTCTCCTGCCTCAGCCTCCCAAGTAGCTGGGACCACAGGTGCCCACCATCACACCCGGCATTTTTAGTAGAGATAGGGTTTCACCATGTTGGCCAGGCTGATCTTGAACTCCTGACCTCAAGGGATCCACCCTCTTCTACCTCCCAAAGTGCTGGGATTATAGGTGTGAGCCATCGTGCTTGGCCTATTGGGTGATTTTTTCAGAGCACTTTCTACGTTCATTAAAAGCCCAGAGGGAACTTTTTAAAAAATGTGATTATGAAAAGAAGCATCAGAGGTTCTGCTCCCCGACTCCCTCACACACAGCCTTTTACCGTTCTTGGCAACACTCCTAAACTGTCCATTGTGGGATGTTGCTTGTAGTGGGGATAGAAGAGGCTTGAATTCAGAGGAACTAGGGAAGATAACATCATATGGACAGGGATGTGGGCCGCTCTGTGGACTTTGAAATGACATTATCCCTTTGAGCAAATTTGAAACAACTCATTGGCTGCATCCAGAAAGCTATCAATGAATGTCATGTCAATCAGCTTTCCTAAGAGTCTGAAAAATATTTGTAACATTCACTGTAGAGTGATGATTTCATCAAAGAAAATTAGATAGGTAGATGGAAGCCAGAAGTTAGGAAAAAATTATATGCATTTCCTTCATCTTCTGCAGCAGATTGACCAGCAGATTGAAAATGTTTATGAACTTTAAGAAGATGCATTTGGACTGAACATGTGAACAATTTACGTTACACGTGTGCCCAAGCATGTGCATACACACGCTCTTAGTATTTTCTCTCTTCTTAAGCTGTCAGGTTGGTTGTTCATTTCATTTGTTTATATCCAGCTGTTGTTACCTGCAACAGGTGGGATATTTTCAAAGTTTTAAAGTCTTTTTCCCACCACACCCCAAGGAACATGCTGCAGCCCTATAAAACCAGGTATTGTAAATATGCAGCATCCGGGCCACTTATAAAAACATTTATAACCCAACTCAGGAAGCAACTCTTGCTTTCTGGGCAGAAAGACTGAGATGGCATAAAGACGTGATGGATTACCCTTCCTCGATTAAAAAAAAATAGCTGGTTGTGGACATACAGAGCACTTCTCTTTCAACCTCTTCATTTTTTTAGACAAAGAAGCTAAAGCTTGAGGGGACAGGTGGCTTGCTCAAAGTCACACTGCAGGTTATGGTGACAGCCATGAGGTTGAGGTCCCCTGACTTCCTATCCAGCGCTGCTTCCTTCTCTTTGACTCACTACAGCCTATCAGAGAATAAGAGCATTGTGCTTGAAAGAGCATGGATTCTCAAGCCATGCTTCAGGGGTTTAAATCTCAGATCTTTTACTTACTGTGTGCCCTTGAGCATGTTAGTTCATTTCTCTGTGCCTCAGTATCTCCATCCATAAAATAGGGCTGCTGTGAAGATCAAATTGGTGAATATATGTAAAGTGCTTAGAGTAGTGCCTAGCACATAATAAGCACTTTGATGATGATGATGATGATGAGGATGATTGTTATTATTATCACCACCAATTAGCAATGAAGAAGGATTAATCGTGTACTTTATGTGTCTTGGCTCTACAATTTGACAATCTGGATGTCTTCTCAAAACCAGTCACAGCCACTGAATTTTTTCTTGCGCACAATTCTGCCACCAGATGTGCAAGCCCTGTAATTAGAGGCCTCTGAGGTTGACACTAATGCATTGATAACTGCTGTTAATTCAGACCCTCTGTTCAGTTATAGACATGTGGTGGCCACCAGGCCTGGATCCTTTCATCCCGGCTTAATGATATGAGTGTCATAGAGACAGATTCCAAATCTGGGATAGATTCAGTTTATCACTCCCTTTTCCTCCCAGGCCCATCACCTCATCAAAGAAGGAGGGCAAATCAGCATCTTCCTTGTCCAGAAATGGATGCTACGTTTTAGTAGTTACAGGAATGGGCCTTGCCGGCATTTGGATTGGAAGAGAGCCCTGCATTGTTCTCTGTAATTTGCTGCCTTGTGGAGCCTGACACAGATTGTCTTATAATTTTCTTCCTCTTCCTATTATGGGTGGCTGGTTTAAATGAAGAAAGCACCACCCTGAAACCATACATTTTTCTTTTGTAAATTACATGACATTATTTTAAAGATCATTTTTAAGAGAACATAATAAAAACAGAAAGTTTGGAAATGTTGGTGTGACATTCTCATCATTTGTTACTTATTTAGCACAGTCATCTGCTTATATCTCCAACAGGTTGCAAGGTACATTAGCCATGTTCTCTTCCGAAAGACCAGACTGCCTTTGCCCTATAGGGCAGGACTTGGTTGGTGTTAGTGGTCATACAAGGCTTCAAAATTACCTGTCTCCCAAGAAAGACATGGATTTACAAAGACACGCTCTCAGATTCAGGTTGACAGTGTGGAAAGGCCTTGGGAGTAGGCTGCTTCCCCTTCCACCTCATCCGTCCCAACATAGCCTCTTCAAGAACTTGCTGTCTTATCCAGCTGGTCACCAGCTGAAGGGCAGTGAAGACCACTGGGTACCCCAGGACAGGAGCTAGAGTCAGGGCACTGAGAACTGGCAGAGGTACCCACACAGAGGAATCAAAAAGGTGTAGGCATAATTAAGGCCGAGCCACATTGCTAAGAGCATGGAGCAAGGCCTAGGCCTGAACAGGGAAAGGACAGACAGGGAGAAGGAGGCCTTGGAGGAAGGTCTCAGGGGACTCAGGTAAGTGCCAGGCTTCACGTTATCTGTGGTCCACTGTTGTGGGCTTGTCTTACGGTGGGACACAGGTGGGTCTGGCTAGCTCAACAGACCAGAGGTGATGCCTCTGATGGCTTTTTAGAAGTTATAACCTCCTGATGAAAGTCTCCCACCTGTCGGCCGCACTGGGTCAGGTGTGGGCCTGAGACTGTCTCTCTCCCTAGGTGAACAAAGCCCTGAAGCAGAAGTCAGACATCGAGCACTATCGGAACAAGCTACGCCTCAAAGCCAAGAGGAAGGGATATTACGACTTCCCCGCAGTGGAGACGAGCAAGGGTCTGACCGAAAGAAAAAAGATGTATGAAAAAGCCCCAAAGGAAATGGAGCATGTTTTGGATCCAGATTCAGAACTCTGCGCTCCATTCGCCGAGTCGAAAAACAGGTACAGTCTGTAAGGGATTCTGTAAAGGGTGTTGTATCATCGGTGGGCTAAGGGCAGGCCTCGGGCAATGTATCCTGGTCCCTCATCTGGTACTGTAGGACTGTGTTCTCTGCAGCCCAGTGATCTGCACCACACTGGTCTGTGCAAACAGGTGCTCTGTAATGAGTCTGAAAGAGAATAACATTAAAGCCATTCAAAAAAAAAATACTTGGACAAACAACCATAATTGTCCTTTAGCTTAATGGTATTTTCAAAGCAGTTACTTTTTCAGAGCTGAATGGTAATTGTAATTATCACCTACCTAATGGTACAGCTTCCAGATCAAGGGACATTGTATTGTTCACTTGTTTTAGAGGCTCTTGTGTAAGAAAAGCAAATTTCATGCCTCACCTGTTCATTCAGCCTCAGTAAGTACTTACTGCACAGCTGCTCACAGCTCCATGCTGGTTTATCTCATTCATTCATAGACTTGTTCATTTTTTCAACATATATTGTCACCTGCTATGTATTAGGCACCATTCAGGATGCTGAATGCTATCATGCACATGTGAGCTTTTCTCATTCATTCATTCAGTTCCAGTTCCTTCAACATTTAATTGTGGATAAGATAGTCCTATTGCTGCTCTTAAGGCCTAATGGGAGAGAAAGAATCACCCCAAAAGTGTATTAATGCCAAGTGTGGTGGGTGTTTGAAGTATGAGGTACTGTGACGATCTAAGAGAAGGTCCTGTCCCAGTGAGGAAGGGCTAAGCCAGATGATTTAAATTGGCATCTTCTGCTGGGCATGGTGGCACGGCCTGTAGTCCCAGCTACTCGGGAGGCTGAGGTGGGAGGATCGCTTGAGTCCAGGAGTTCTGGGCTGTAGTGCGCTATGCCGATTGGGTGTCCACACTAAGTTCGGCATCAATATGGTGACCTCCGGGAGCGGGGGACCACCAGGTTGCCTAAGGAATGGTGAACCGGCCCGGGTCAGAAACGGGTCAGGTCAGAACTCCCATGCTGATCAGTAATGGGATCACACCTGTGAAAAGCCACTGCACCCCAGCCTGGGCAACATAGTGAGACCCCATCTCTGAGAAAAAAAATAAGTAAAAATAAAAAATAAATTGGCACCTGTCTTAGTTATTTTTGTGCTGCTATAACAGAATACCTGAGACTGGGTAATTTATGATGAACAGAAATTTTCTCACAGTTCTGGAGGCTGGGAAGTCCAAGATCAAAGTGCCGGCATCTGGCAAAAGCCTTCTTGCTGTGTCAGCCCATGGCAGAAGGCAGAGGGCAAAGAGAGAGCAAGAGCGGGCCAAATTCATCTTTTTATAACAGCACCAATTCCACCCACGAGGAGGAGCAGTCATGACCCTATCACCTTCCAAATGTCCCACCTCCTGACACCAGCATGACAGTAACCAAATTTCAACACGAGGTTTGGAGGGAAAAACCTTCAGAGCGTGGCTGCAGCCTTCCAAGTTTTGTTGCTCATTCCACATGCGGGGTCGAAGGCATAGGTTAGTGAAGCCAGACGTCTCCACCTTTCTTCCTTTCCTACCTTCCCAAAGTGCTTTCATGATTTGCGGCCATCTCTTTCCCATCACATTCTCCTTGGTGACTCCCCTCTGGCTTTGAGCATGCCGCCACTCCGACATGCCACAGAGCCATGACACACATGTTATCCACAGACTGGGAGCCATAGGGCAGTTTCTGGCCTGAGTAGGTACTTATTAAAAGCAAAAATGACTCTGTGACAGGCTTGGATCAAAGCCACAGAATCAAGCTGGGAGGTAGGGCTAAATTTTATAAATTGGATCAGCATAATTTATTTTCAATAAAGAAAAGAGGGAATTCTAAACCAGTGCTTAATTTACCATGCTTCTAATTAGGCTTGGTTGGTATGACAAGCTATTGATATAAAATCACACCATGACCCGGTTCACAATGCGTGTGTCACTGTGTTAATAACTGTAGAAAAAAAAAGAAAAAAGTTAGGGGTTTTATAGGGAGGCCGATTGCTTCTTTAGAGCTTTTATTTTGTACTTTGGGGTTTTTACTTCCGTGGTCTTTGGGACGGGAGCTGGGATAGGAGCTGTTTTTCCTGGATTTCCTGCTGACACTCAGGGAAAATAAATCAAAGCCACAAAATCAAGGTGGGAGTTGGGGCTAAATTTTATGAATTGCATCAACATAATCATTTTCATATACAAATTAAACTTTGCTAGAAAGTTACTTGAGAAAAATTTCAGTTAAGGCTTTTTATGAAAAGAGAATGAACAAAGAATGAACCAAACTTGCTTCTGTAGAGAGGCATCTGCTCTGCCTAGCACAGGTGCAGGCCGGATTCTTGGGGCCTTTTGATGACCTGCTAATGCCATGCATTATATAGCTAATTCTCAGCAAATGTTCATTGAAGAAATGGTTTAATGATCATAAAGCACCAAAAATAATGTTTAAAACCTTTTTGACCACTTAAGGGGAAAATATGGATAGCCATAAGCCGGGTGAGCTAGGAATAGGAATGAAGATAGGATCCGCCAGAGATGGTGATGGAAGGGACAGACAGAAAAAAAGAGGGTGACAGTCTCAGTAAGCTCGGAGGTGTTATTCTTGACACATTCTGCTGTTGACTCCAGAGACTGCTGTTTATCTGCGATCGCAGGTTAGAGTTACCTGTTAATTACTGCTCACGGTATAACTCTCCAGAGGTTCTGCTCTCAGGGACCCAGCCATAGCAGGACAAGTAAAGGAATCATGCTCTAGTGTAGAGGAAGCATCAGTATATTAGGCCATTCATGTTTTTTTTTTTTTTTTTTTCTTCCGTTTTTTTTTTTTTTGTGAGATGGAGTTTTGCCATGTTGCCGAGGCTGGTCTCGAGCTCCTGGGCTCAAGCCATCCTCCTGCCTCAGCCTCCCAGAATTCTGGGATTACAGGCGTGAGCCACCACCCCTAGCCAACCATTCTTGAATTGCTATAAAGAAATGCCTGAGACTGGGTAGTTTTCTTTTTCTTTTATTTTAGGTTTGGGGTTACATGTGCAGGTTTGTTATGTAGATAAACTTGTGTCATGGGTTTGGTTGTACAGATTATTTCATCACTTGGGTATAAGCCTATTTCCCAATTATTTGATTAAATAATAACTGAAAAAGTAACTGAAATAGTCATAACTGAAATAACTGAAAAAAATCAGTTATTTTTTTCTGCCCTCTCCCTGCTCCCACTCTCCACCCTTGAGTGTACTCCAGTGTCTGTTGTTCCATTTGTGTTCGTGAATTCTCATCATTTAGCACCCACTTACAAGTGAGAACATATGGTATCTGCTTTTCTGTTCCTGCATTAGTTTGCTAAGGATAATAGCTTCCAGCTCCATCCATCTTCCTTCAAAAGACATGATCTTTTTCTTTAACCTGGCTGCATAGTATTCCATGGTGTGTATGCATCACATTTCTTTTTCATCCAATCTGTCATTCATGGCCATTTAGGTTGATTCCATATCTTTTCAATTGTGAACAGTGAAGCAATGAACATTCTCATACATGTGTCTTTATGGTAGAATGATTGATATTCCTCGGGGTATATAATAGTAATGGAATTGCTGGGTTGAATGGTAGTTCTGTTCTTAGCTCTTTGAGGAATTGCCATAGTGCTTCCCGCAATGGTTGAACTGATTTATACTCCCACCAACAGTGTGTAAGTGTTTCCTTTTCCCTGGAACCTCGCCAGCGTCTACATTTTTGACGTTTTGACTTTTTAATCATAGCCATTCTGACTGGTATGAGATGGCATCTCATTCTGGTTTTGATTTGTATTTCTCTAGATCAGTGATATTGAGCATTTTTCGTATGCGTATTGGCTGCATGTATATCTTCTTTTGAAAAGGAGATTGGGTAATTTATAAAGAAAAGAGGTTTAACTGTCTTACGGTTCCACAGGCTGTACAAGCATGGCATCTTCTCAGAGAGGCCTCAGGGAGTTTTTATTCGTGGTGGAAGGAAAAGCAGAAGCAAAAGAGAATTGGGGCATGGTGCCTGGCACATAGTAGGCATTCAGAAAATTATGGATGGCTGGATGGTTGGATGGATGGATGGATGGATGGATGGGTAATGCTTCATTTGGCATGCTTCAAAGTGTATTGCCTTTAAAAAGTATATAGCAAAAGACTTCTTAGAAACCCCAATGCCACACACTCTTAACCAGATCTCATGAGAACTCACTGTCACAGGGACAGCACCAACCAACCCATGAGGGGTCCGCCTCCGTGATCCAGTCACCTCCCACCAGGCCCCACCTCCAACACTGAGGATTACATTTCAATGTGAGATATGAGTGGGGACAAATATCCAAACTATATTAATCAGTAACCAGAATTTTACCTTAAGACCTAAATTAAATCAAATAAAAGACAAAGTGTTTAGGTTCCAAATGTTGACTCATTACTAAATCTTTTAAAATCGTTTTCAGAGCCTTAAAAAAAAAAATCAGAATGCCTCATTTTTACATTATAAACTCTTACCCAGAGACACAAAGTACGTAACGTAACTGAGATGGTTGGTGTTGGCGGCCCCGGTCCATGCCCTCAGCTCTGCCTGTGCCTGTCCAGGCTGGCAGCATCCTCCTCACTACAGGCATCTGTGACTGCAACTTAAAGGCTTTTTCTCAGCAGCCACCAACCGGCAATGTCAGGTAGTTCAGGCACCGTGGAGCATCCTCGGTCCATAACTGAAGGATACTGATGGATAAATAACCCTGGCAAGGGACCTGGAGGTATAAATTATACTGTTGCAATAGCTACATTTTTTAGTTTCTGTGTTTGATTATTTGGACATCTGACCCCAGAGAAATTATCCTCCCCAGGCTGCTGGATGCCTAGTGCTAATAAAGGACTCACCAAAGCAGCCAGTCCAGAGCCCAAACACCAACTGCCTCCTTTATAGATGGCCTCGCAGGGCTGACACTCTGAGTCACTATCTGCCTGCCTTGATTACCCCAGGGCCAGGTACCAGAAAACTTGGGATAGCCCTTGTGCCCCAGAAATCTGCCAAAAGTATTCAACCAAAATTATTCACACTCCCCCTGTGGTGTGGCCTGTTCCCTCCTCTTGGGACCTGTGAGTGTAACAAGCCATAGCTGAATGGCAGTCATTTCCTGATCTATTGGCTGTGCCACACCTAAATAATAATAAAACCTACTTTTTTTTTGAGACAGTTTCGCTCTTATTGCCCAGGCTGGAGTGCAATGGTGCGATCTTGGCTCACTGCAACCTCCGCCTCGCGGGTTCAAGCGATTCTCCTGCCTCAGACTCCCAAGTAGCTGGGATTACAGGCGCCTACCACCATGCCCAGCTAATTTTGTATTCTTAATAGAGACAGGGTTTCTCTATGTTGGTCAGGCTGGTCTTGAACAAACCTACCTTTTAAAACAACTGCCTCCCACACTTCTCCAGGGAGTTTGAGCCTCAGTTGCCCAAAACACAGATCTACTCCAAATCATACCCTTTATTGATTTTCTTTCCTCTCATTTCCTCTCCCCAGCTAGTGCTTCATGGAACCACCTCCCAAATAAACCATTTACTCTCAAATCATCCTAGAACCTGCTTCTAGGAAACCCAATATAAGGTAATAATATATAAAGACAGAATTGCTCTGATGGAAGCTGGGCCTCCTTCTGCTCCTCACTCCTTCCCAGGCCATCTCTGTGGAACCCCAGGCTTCCATAGAAAGAGAATATAATTTGAGAACTACTTTCTTAAACTATATTGGGATTAACGAGCCAAGTAAAACTCAGCATTACCCACCCAGCAGTATTTTCAGAAGTAAAAAACTTACTTCTCAAGTTTGCATGCTTCAAAATATATTGCCTTTAAAAAGTATCTAGCAAAATATCAACAAGAAATGAATATACCTAATGGAGCACTATCTTATTAAAATAGTAATTTCTCTACCTGAGAGTTTAATTTATTTTTGAATAGGCACTTGCATACCAGGCGTGCATTGGTGGCCTGGTCAATTGAAATCTGTGTTAAACAGTGGCCTTTAAGCTCTATATTTTAAGGGGCTGTTGCCTCTGAGGGAAAAGTAGACTGCTGTACACTCCAATGTCGACACTTGTACCTACATTTACAGTTCTTGACAAGGCTTACACAATCTCACTATTGTATTTCTAACACTTGCAAAATAACCTACTTAAGTGTCAATTGCTAATCTTAGTATTTACTCCACCGCCACTCTTATTAGTAAATCTTTTCTAAATGGGCTAATTGATAATCTCAAGACAGTTGTAAAAGTCTGCTTTTCCCCAAAAATGATGTGTAATTAGGTCAAGGATGAGAATTCTTCTCGAGTCTGCGGAAAGTGTGAATCACTCAGAGCAGACTGTTTCCAGCCCACTGAGGTTGTGCATCCCTAAAGGAAGCCTCTCATTGCAGATAACTACAGGGCACAGTTTATACTATTAGCTTGTTAACTCCTATATTAGAATTAGAATTCTTTTGGTTGCAAATGGTGGAAATCCAGCACAAACTGGTTAAATAAAAGGGGAATGTATTATTGAGCATTAATGAAAGGTCAAGACTTCGGCATGGCTGGATCCAGGGGTCAGACGATGTCTCCTATGTTAGATCTTGCTCTCTTTTCACTCTGCTGGCCCCATTTTTGGACAGGCTCTTACCTCATGTTGATAAACTGGCTGCCAGCAACTCCTATATCCTATCTTCTTAGAAACCCTAATGCCAAGAGAATGCCTCTTTCCTAGTTACCCTAGTAAAAGCCCCAAGACTCAGTCCTACCAGACCAGCTCAGGTCAGGTGCCCAGTCCCTAACCCATCACTGTGGCCATGGAGATATGATGCTGGGATTGGTCCAGCCTGAATCACATGCCTACACCTGGAGGAAAGGGAGCCCCCACGTGACATCATGATGCTCCTACCAAAGGAAGGTTATCACGGGTGACAGGCAAGCAAAGACAACAGATGTGGTTTGAGCAGGTATAAACTCCTCATGGTGAAGGTCTAAAACCAGTGGTGTCTACTTTATATCCAAGGCTAAAGGCAGGGGTACTGCTTTGGTTTAGAGTTCTACTGCCTCTCCTAGACTATGTGTGACTGTAATTCTGTGACTAACTTATTGTGTGTCTATGAAAAAGTGTGTATGCCTGCCAGGTTTCTGGCTTCCCACATAGTCACTGGGAAGAAATAATATAGCCTCTTCACCTTCAACCCATGGATAGCTAGAATCTTAGAATAGAGAATTACATAGGTGGTGGTGGCCAGGCAGGGAGGCTCACACCTGTAATCCCAACACTTTGGGAGGCCGAAATGGGCAGATTGCTTGAGCCCAGGAGTTCGAGACCAGGCTAGGCAACGTGGTAAAACACTGTCTCTACAAAAATTACAAAAAATTATCCTGGCTTTGTGGCATGTACCTGTAGGCCCAGCTACTCAGGAAGGTGAGGTGGAAGGATCACCTGAGCCTAGGAGGTTGAGGCTGCAGTGAGCAGCGATCATATCACTGCACTCCAGCCAGGGTGACAGTTTGAGACCTATCCCTTACCCTCCAAAAAAGGGCAGTGTTTGGAGAGTTCTCTATGCAAATTAAACACAGAGAAACTTATGGCTGGGTGAGAAGGAAGTGCTATCCCTTTGCCACCTTGCAGGATCATGTGGAACTCACTTGTCCCCCATGAGCCTCATCCCCCACTTGTAAAATTGCCTCTTGTGGAAGAAGAAAAGCATAGCCACTATCCTCACCATGTTGCTGTTTACTTCCCACTTTTTGAAAAGATTTTTCTAATGACAAGTGGAGACAAGAGAGGGGTGACAAATGTATGAATTATTTAGCAGTAGCTGAGTGGAGCCTCTGAATGTGCTACTCCCTGAGCCTGAAATGCTCTGTGCCCAGATCAACGTGTGGCTGGCTCTGTTTAGGACTCAGCTGAATTGGCACTTCCCTGGAGGGCCTTCCCTAATCATCCTATCTAAAGTTGTCTCCCATCCTAGTCCCCATTTGTCACAGCTTAATAGCACTTATCACTCTGAAATTATCATGTTAATTTTCTGTCTCTCTCATCAGGATGTAACCTCTAGGAGAACCAGGGCCATAATCTGTTTTGTTCACTGTGGATGTTCATCATCTTCCATGGTGTCTGGCACATAGTAGGCATTCAATAAATGGTTGGATGGATGGATGGATGGATGGGTAGGTAGGTGGGTGGATGGATGAGTGGGTAGATGGAAGGGTGGGTGGATGAAAGGGTGGGCAAATGGATAAACCCCAAATTACCTCTGGGTTTATGGCTTCTTAGTCCAAAAGGAAATGTACTGCCGTAATAGCAGAAAAGAAATCTACCCAGAGTCATAATACTAAGCAGCCCACTAGCTACAGGGTTTATTAACACATCATAGAATCCTGTGTATAAAACCAGAAAAAGTAAAATGAAACAGGAGGTTGCTGAGTCAACAAAGGCGAATTTGTTCCATCAGCGTTAGCTATCCTAGAGGGTCAAGGGAGAACCCCTGGTCTTGCCATCAGCAGAATTTTAAATGAGGTTACAGTGTTGGAATTGACTGTGGTTACCTAGTTTCCATATGAACAGTTACAGTTCAGCCAAATGATTACAGCATCTGGAAAAAAAAATCTTTATTTCACTCTTTCTACAGCCCCTTATATCCTGGGAACAAACACCATCAATTCTGAGATTTGTGAGGCAAATCCAAACCCTTCATTGGTTGCCTGTACTTTGGATCAGTGGAGAATTCCATCTGTCAGGGCATTTGCTGCATCATAACAGTTGTTGAATTTTCTTCAGGCAACAGATGAAGAACTCTGTCTACCGAAGCCGGCAGTCTCTGAACAGCCCGAGTCCAGGGGAAACCGAGATGGACCTTCTGGTGACTCGGGAGCGACCCCGGCGTGGAATCCGCAATAGCGGATACGATGTGAGTCTCTGGTGGGCTGGGTGAATACAAGCTTTGCTTTCCCCTGAAGGCAAGGGGGACAGAGCATCCCACTGTGTTTCAGTTTATCACGTGTTTGTGGAATTTTAAAATGCACTAAAATGTTTTCTATTTTTTTATTACTTCATTTGCAAAGTAGAACTTCTTGGAATGTGTCAGAGTAACAGATAATTGCGAAAAGGATCATGATTTCTGAATTGCACCATGTTACGAATAGCACATTATGGATCCTAAACTTAATGGATATTCTAAATGCCCTTAATTTTTCCCCCGTCTGTCCTTAGAAACTCAGTAGGGACCATGGCCTGGGTTAGTTAGAATTCACTTGAAGACAGGCTTCTTTTAATTCATAGTGATGCTGAGAAGTTGGATTTGTTCCTGATTTCATAACTCCTTGCTATGCCATGAAAACAATGAGATGTCCAACAGAGCAGTCTGATGATTTCATGTGACAGAGTACATGCTTATGTTCAGTGATGTGGCCAAACTGCAGAAATTATTTTAATCCTATCAGATTTCCCCAGATGATAAGTCACAATTTGGTGCCTCCTCTCCAGCTGCGTGCACCCTGTGACTTGTCCTTGCACCCATGAGCTCAGGTGAATGGTCCTGTGCTCAGATGTACAGTAATGCCTCACCCTGCCCCACCATATCCTATGAGCTTGAACACCTAGGGTTTTTTTGTTTGTTTGTTTTATATATATATATGTATTTTATTGCATTTTAGGTTTAGGGGTACATGTGAAGAACATGCAGGATTGTTGCATAGGTACATACATGGCAATGTGGTTTGCTGCCTTCCTCCCCATCACCTGTATCTGGCATTTCTCCCCATGTTATCCTTCCTCAACTCCCCACCCCCCACTGTCCCTCCCCTATTCCCGCCCACAGACCTCAGTGTGTGATGCTCCTCTCCCTATGTCGGTGTGTTCTCATTGTTCAACGGTCGTCTGTGAGTGAGAACATGCGACACACCTAAGTTTATGAACGGTGTTTCCTTCCCATTTCCCTAAATGTTTCTCTAAATACAAATTAAAATTTTTCTTTAATAAAAGTTATAATTCAAATATATCTGGATAAACTTATGTTTTAATTTGAGAAGTTGTAGTTTGACACTTGGTTTTTAAAATATACCAGGCTAATTGGAAGACAAGAATATTTTTCCCCCTCAGGATTAGTCATCTTTTGCCACAGAATCTTAAAATGGGATTTTTTTTTAATGGTCCAATGAAAAACAGAGATATTCTACCTAATTTGAATTTCGAATCACCTTCCTTATGTTTAACCTTCATGTTTGTGTTGGTAGTGTTACCCTTATCTTTTGTTCCTTTTTTGTTTTTCATAAAACAGTTTGGTAGTTTAGTTTTATAAAATTACAGTTGCTTGGGGCAAATCTTCTATTTTCCCACTAGGTTAAATTATATAATGTTAATTTTTTCTCCTTATAAAAAATTATTTCCTATGCCAAATTCATTCAGCAATTTGGTAATCAGCCTGTGATTAGAAATCGGGCATTAGAAGTTTCCAGTTAATCTTTCCCCACCAACAGTGAACCTTCTTCTTCAATGCGTGTTTAGTTTGGGGAACTTTTTCTTTTGCCCAGGCATCTGAGATACAATAGAATTCTTAATTTATTTCAAGATTGGCATTAATAGGTTTGTGTGTGTGTGTGTGTGAGAGAGAGAGAGAGAGCGAGCGAGCTTCTGGGCAAAGACACTTTGACAGTTGTGAGGAAATGGACCAGAGGTTTTCCTATTAACCTTAAAAAGGGAACATTGCAGATGGTTTTTAAACCCCAGTGCCATGATTTGCAGCACTCACTTAATACCTTTGGAATGTCATGTTAGCAACTTACCTAGAACAATAGAAGAAGAGAGAGAATTTTTAAGAGGAGATTGCTCACCTTCACAGACATATAGAAGTATACCAAGTACAGATTATTTTAGGGGAAGCCTGGTTTATTCTAATAGACTTCTTTAAAATAGGTATTTCTTTGAGAAGTGCATGTGATCTCAAAAATATAATATAAGCTCCCTTAAGAGAAAACGACCATCTAGGGAATGGCATTAAGAAATTAGGTGGTGGACTTGGGAGAAATGCCAGATACAGTATGCACCTAAAGCTAAACAAATAAATTTAAAAAAGAAAGAAAGAAATTAGGCGTTGGCTATAAGAATGAAATGCTTACCTGTATCTCTTCTTGTGCTTTTTATACTAATCATATGAAAAGTGTCTAATATTTATCAGCCGCTTACCATAGACCAAGCCCTATTCTATTTTTTTTTCTGTGTTTTATCTCATTGCGTTTGTGTAGTTACCAGTCAAGTAGATGCTTTCATTATGCCCATTGTATGGATAAAGAAACTGAGGCCAGTTATATAATTTGCCTACCCATCCCCAGAGCTCCTCCCCTTAACCACCATGCAATATGTCTTCTATAGTCATCCTTCCTCACTATACATCTGTCCTTATGTAACATAATCCATATCCTATATTTTGAACCTCTGGAAGAAGCTAGATGTCAGGGCTCACAAGCATTTTTACATGAATAACTCACACAGGCAAAACATGGACCAGCAAATAAAGTAGGGAAAAAAAGTGAGTCATAGTTTTAAACAATGCATTCATTTTCGAAGCTCTTGATTTTCTAAAATTACCAGAGCACTTCTGGCAAAAGAATCCATTAGCACAGCAGTGAGCCGGTCATTCAGTCGGAAACATGTCATTCTTCCCACTGGGTCTGGGGATCCAGAAGCCCTGCCAGAATATCCAGTTCTTTCTGCCAGGTTGGGGAAACTTCACACCATAGAAACAAAAGCACTGGGAGATTGATTTAATTTTGAATTTTTTGAAAGATGACCGGAGTCCCAAAGGAAAAGCCTGCATGTACAAATAAATGAATAAATGCATAAATAAGCAAATACACGCTACACAGGCAAATCTTAGTACCAGGGCTGTAGGAGCATGGATTGTTTCAAAATTTTCCCATAGAGCAAAAGATATTAGGGCCTGTAGAAGGGAGACCCTTAACTCCAAGGGGCCTGGGATCACTGCGTTTTATAGCAACAATCTTCAACCTTTTGGTCACTCTGCCAGCTGAGGGATGCCGTGCAGTCCCGTCAGTAGTGATGCCTCACTTGGTGGCAATATTCTAGAAGGACATACTCCCACTAGAAGGATGTGTTATTTTCTTTCTTTTTAAAATTTATTTATAGGGCCGGGCGCGGTGGCTCAAGCCTGTAATCCCAGCACTTTGGGAGGCCGAGGCGGGTGGATCACGAGGTCAAGAGATCGAGACCATCCTGGTCAACATGGTGAAACCCCGTCTCTACTAAATATACAAAAAATTAGCTGGGCATGGTGGTGCATGCCTGTAATCCCAGGTACTCAGGAGGCTGAGGCAGGGGAATTGCCCGAACCCAGGAGACGGAGGTTGCGGTGAGCCGAGATCGCGCCATTGCACTCCAGCCTGGGTAACATGAGCGAAACTCCGTCTCAAAAAATAAATAAATAAATAAATAAATAAAATAAAAATAATAAAAAAAAATAAAATTTATTTATTATACTTTAAGTTCTGGGGTACATGTGCAGAACGTGCAGATTTGTTACATAGGTGTACATGTGCCATGGTGGTTTGCTGCATCCATCACCCCGTCATCTACCTTACGTATTTCTCCTAATGCTATCCCTCCCCAATCCACCCACCCCCCTGCTATCCCTCCCATAGCCCCCGACCCACCAACAGGCCCTAGTATGTGATGTTCACCTCCCTGTGTCCATGTGTTATTGTTCAACACCCACTTATGAGTGAGAACATGTGGTGTTTGGTTTTCTGTTCTTGTGGATGCTCCAGACTTCCCAAAGACCAGATCATATCATTAAACCAACTTTGGCATTGAAATTAACTCATCCCCATGTAGAAAGCAGGTAGAAAAGAAAATGTCAGCCTAACGTGTAAAAGCAAAAATATCTCTATTTCAAAGTATTTTTAAAATGTCATTTTCTGAATGAAAGTCATGTGGAACATAGTGAAGCAGTGAGGAAAAGAAAAAAATGCTGCAAATATGATTCTCAGACAGAATAAAGACCTAAGTGATTTTTCCTTTATCAGCCAAATTATTTAACCCAGTAGTGAATATGAAGCCTTTGCTTCCAAAAGGCAAGTAATCATTAAATCATCGCTCAGAAAGAAAAATGCACCTCTTCAACCTTGATCTGTTTTTGGAGTTTAAAAATCTGTGGCAGGAAGGGAGTCAGCTATGTACCTTGGCTATGAGGCAGACTCTGAAGTTGATCGTTTGAGTTATAACTTTGAAAATGAATGCCGACCTCTCAGAAGCAGGGAACTTTACAATACTTCCCTTAGTTTCTCTCCAGCACCTTGTGAAAGTTCCATGCACTGGAGGTGGTTGCCAGTCCAGTGGGCGCAGACCCTAAAATGTGGGCAGTGGGTTTGAAAATGGTAAGTAGGATTGGTTGAGTCATTGATGCATCTCAAAGAGGCAATCACAGTCATTAGTTCTCATTCCAGAGGCTTTCTTCAGGGAAATGTTTGAAACCAGATGCTTCTACAGCTGAAAAGTACACATAAATCCATAAAAAGGGGTATCAGGCAAGGTCCAGCTGCAGAAAACTGAAAACATCAAGCTGTTTCAAACAGATCCAAAAAAATGACTAGTAGGAATTAGGCGCTCACAAAATCATCGGAAGGCTGGAGGAATGTTCCTGGAAAGATTCCTAGAACAAGACCACACGGCTGGCCCTGAGGAGCTGCCGCCTCTTCCCCAAGCAGAAAGGCGGAGAAGCAGCCTGCCTTGGAACACCAAGGTTAAGAAAACACAGTCGTAGCATGATCCAGGAATGAGAGAGCCCCACAGAACCGGGGGGAAGGACTCTAGTGCTCAGCAACCCAGCTTTCGGCAGCCAAGGCAGCAGAAAGATGGGCCTGCCTCGTTTCCTCTGTCCAAAGTGCACACAGGTGC